AATATGTTAATATCTAAGTAATATGTATCATGTTTCTGGATAATGCATATATTAAACATATTATTTAATACTAACTTAATGGAAAATTTGTACTGGTTTCTGCTAAGTTATTTAAAGAAACACCATAAGGTGGTATGCTTTGATTTAAGTAAATGAGAGAATTAACTGCCATAATTAAAGTTCCACCAAGTGGTTTCTTTACTGGTACTGCTTGATAACAGTCGAATGGTAAATTTGATACAGACCAAATTATGGGATGTACCCTCTGTTGAATGTTTAATGATATTGCAACCATTGCACAAGTATCTTGTCTAACTGCAATACGCCTACAATTTTATATTATATTAGTTACATGTTGATACCTCTCAATGGAACAAACTACATTAGAAAACATACAACTTACCCTGAAAATGTCCTCACTGGTTCATACAATATTAATAATGTTGGTTCATAATAACCATGTAAAAATTGTAAATCTATTATATTGTCCATTTTTTCCTCTAAACATTTTAAGACTATCATATATGATGACAATATGGGAGTTTTATTAGATGTTGCTTTTGAATTATCTAATAGATCTCCATCATCAAGACTTGGATCTTTTTTAAAAGGCAGTACAACTAGTTTTCGACCATATATTAACATTACTGCGCATCTTCCTTCAGGATCTACCCTAACAATAGGAATATGATGATGATTTGTCCATCCATCCTAAAGGAATAAATAAATGTATCATATTGTCTTTCTTACGTACTTCCTACGTCAAGAGACATCATACGTTTAAAAAATTCAACAATAGAGTTTTAACAAATAGAAAACTTATAATATATTTAAATAGAAACCTTAATGATGTATCTAGTATTAAGAATCAAATTACTTTTTAAATTACAAACTTTACCAAAGTATCTATAGTAATATCTGGATTAACTACATTGAGATTAGCAAGAGTGTATTACCCTTATTTCTTCCTCTTCAAAATAATGTAATGATACTGTTCTGAGATCATGTGTATCTTGATCATATTCTACGACAGATAATTTTGCATCACGAAAGCTTAATAGGAGAGAATCTCTTTGAGACCCAACAAGAGCCACAGCTTGCATCGACATTACGTTTCCATGTAAAGTGTATTGAGATAAGCATTCCAATTTCATTTTTGGTGGGCGTGATTCTGAATCAAGAAAAATGTTGACAAATTTGTTTATTAAAAAGTACATTTTAAGACTTCATTTTTAATTTACACTAAATTATTAAAGACAATAATATTGTGTAATGTAAAAAAATATACGAAATGTGATGTTATGTTTAACCAAAAGCACGCTAAAAAGGAATATTTGTAATATAGAACTAATAAATTCTGACACTGGTGTGTCGTTTAAGGATTAATAAATAGCAGATAAACAACCTACGTACCTGTATACTTTTCTCTCTTTGTTATATCCACATCAGGTATTAAACAAAATACTCTGATAATATTTGCACCGGCCACTACAAGACATTTTTCCGAACGATTAAAGAAATAACATGTAATTGCATGTTCGACTCCCGTAGCGGGATGAGTACTTTTACATATCGAATACATTGTGAATTGTACTCTTAATTGTTATAAATCACAGTCATATTCCGTAAAGGTTAGTATACACAGAAAATTCTGTACTCTGTACAATTCTTATTTGAAGTTTGTTGTTCTATACGCCATGTGATATAATATACCAATATCAAAATTAAAAATACACTATACCCAATTCTTAAGCAGTACTGTATAGTAATACCACAGCCGACTCTACTAGAGTCGGCTGTGGTAATACATCATCCCTAAATCATTTGTTGCAAATTAACGATAAATTGTTTAATTGTTATGTCGAAAACAATTATATTTTAATTTTCTTTAAATTCTGTACTAATATTATTTATACACGAAAACGTAGAATTTAAATAATATTAATAAATGATTATATGTATCTTTTTTGTATGTACATATTTCTTTTCACATTAATGACACATAATTCTTTTCTCTTGATTTATTTCATATAGTGGGTCTTTGTTCTATAAGATTAATTAATAGTTCCAAATCCATTTCTTTAATGCGTTTGGCTTGAATTGTACCATATACATACAGGATGCCTCAGTAATCATAATACAACTGGGAAGTAATTTTTTTATTTTTTATATTTTTAATTTATTTTGTTCATCTTCCATTATTGAGAAAAAGAAATTAAATTAATAAGGGTAGCAATATTGTTTTTGTACTTAGGGGTTAACACACAGAAATGAACTTGTGTATATGTTCTATATATTTTATGAATTATGGTGTGCTTACTATAATGGTATTATTGGTATTGAGTATTAAGCAATTGAGTTGAGTAGTAGTAGTACAGTGGCAAGTGCCGCGAATGCATTGAACGATCGAGGAATGAAAGTTTAAAAATTACCTTTGTAAATACTGTGTACAGTGTAATATTTACTTAACATGTAATATTACGCATAGAATTCGTTCAGATAATTTATATTATTATTTGTAAGAAAAAGTTAAATACAAATAAAAGGTATTCCGTTGATTATAATAATTTAAATACACCTACGAAAAGTGCTCGATGTTATACATGATCTATTACTAAATATACAAAATTATGTCAAATACGATAACTGGAAAGAATTTGTTACGACCCACTGGATTGCAATGCAAAAATCTTCAAGAGTATTTAAAATCACGTCCAGCCGATGTATTGAACAAATTGTATCATAACCCGCCAATTTGTTTAGCTGTGTTTCGTGAATTGCCTGTTATAGCAAAACATTATGTTATGCGATTGTTGTTTGTTGAACAGCCAGTGCCTCAAGCAGTTATTGCTTCTTGGTGTTCTAAGCTTCATTTTGAAGAACATCAAAAGGTAGTTTCGATATTAAACGAATTAAATGTATGGAAAGAAGCATCTATACCAGGAGGATTACCTGGCTGGATTTTAAATACTACATTTAAAAAGAACTTGAAAATTGTTCTACTGGGAGGTGGAAAACCATGGACAATGTCGAATCAAATGGAAACTGATAATAAACCTAGAGACGTTACGTTTTTAGATTCATACGCATTAGAAAGATGGGAATGCGTTTTACATTATATGGTCGGTTCGCAGCAACAAGAAGGTATATCAGCTGATGCTGTTAGAATTCTTTTGCATGCTGGTTTAATGAAACGAGACGAAGCTGATGGAAGTCCAGTTATTACACAAGCTGGTTTTCAATTTTTGCTATTAGAAACTGCATCGCAGGTATTTAAATATGATTAACTATTGGTCCTTTGTATTATTTTACTGCTAGTTGTAACATAGTAATTGTACAAAACGAAGTAATTCTCCATTTGGAGGTTCCAAAAGCAGTCAACTCCATGCTGCAACCTTTGTTTCCATAAGCATGCATTTTTATTTGACTTTTGTTAATTAAAAAATTTATTCCAGGTGTGGTATTTTATTTTGCAATACTTGGATACAATAGAAGCAAGAGGACTTGATTTAGTCGAGTGCCTTACTTTTCTCTTTCAACTAAATTTTTCAACACTCGGTAAAGATTACAGTACAGAAGGAATGTCTGAAGGTTTATTAACATTTTTACAACATTTACGAGAATTTGGACTTGTTTATCAACGAAAACGTAAAGCTGGGCGGTAAAGTAGTATATGCTTTCAATAGAATATATCGAGTAATCTGATACCAATAAAACCAATATATTTTATATTTACTTTTAGATTTTATCCTACACGATTAGCATTAAATATTGCTACTGGACAAAACAAGCCACTATCTAGGGACCCAGAGAAAGAGGGTTATATCGTTGTTGAAACAAATTACAGAGTATATGCTTATACTAATTCAAATTTGCAAGTTGCCTTACTCGGTTTATTTTGTGAAATGTTATACAGGTATGATATAAAAATGTTTAAATATTTTACATCATTTCATAATTGTATTACAATATTTGCAAGAATGTTTGTTTCTAGGTTTCCAAATTTAGTTGTATCAATATTAACAAGAGATTCTGTACGTCAAGCTTTAAAGAGTGGAATTACTGCTGTGCAAATTGTAGGGTATGTCACATGAAGTAATTTTAAGTATAAAAGTATAAAAGAAAATAGTTAATTTGCATTTTGCTATATCAACAGTTATTTGCAGCAACATGCTCATAGTAAAATGATAGAGGTAGGTCCTCCGGTTTTACCTCCTACTATAGTAGATCAAATTAAATTATGGGAGAATGAGAGAAACAGATTTATATTTAGTGAAGGAGTTTTATATAGTCAGTTTCTTTCCCAAACTGACTTTGAAGTGCTTAGAGATCATGCGCTTTCTACTGGAGTATTAATTTGGCAAAGTGAAAGGTACGTTTTTCAAAATGAATATTTTTATTTTATTTTTTCCAAGACATAATAAATTTAAAAATGTATATAAACGTGTATACTATTTAATATTTTACTTATTTAGAAAACGAACTATGGTTGTTACAAAAGCGGGCCATGATGATGTAAAAAAGTTTTGGAAACGATATTCTAAAGGCTCCGGTTAGTGGAACGCGAATACCTAAGAAAAATATTGAAATATGATCACTAACAAATACTTTCTAGTACAATTTCGTCTTTAATATTACATTGTATTTTTTCAATTTTAAGATATGTAATATAAGTGATTATGAAATATAATGTTATAGATCAACAAGGCGTTATAGTTCGATTTAATGTTGCCGTCGCTAATAAATATACTTTTGTCGAAAGTAAAGTGAATTGTTAAAAAAATAAGTGTGTTGTAATGTATTTGGAAAGGAAAATAATTTTTTATTTTAATCATATAACTATAAATTTTTCCAACTTATACATGATAAATAAATTATGTTTCTATATTTATTTTCAGATTAATGAAATCAATTTAGAAAATTTTATCCTAAATACATAAAATATACAATGTATTTAAAAATTTTTTACAATAGATTGCTTAATTAAAAATGATGTGAAAAACAAAATTATATTGTTACTATAAAATTGCTTAATTATAAATTGTATCAATTTATCACTAGTATAAACATATTCAGTAAAATAAAAATGTCTTTGTTATAGGATATTTTGATATCAATCCCAAATATTGGAGGATAATAGAGCTTGATGTCAGCGCTGTGGTGCTGCTTTTGGTTTTGGCATTTTAGACAATAAACTTTGAATTTCTTTTTTCTCATCGTATGTTTTCCACAGTTCATATAAATTGATGATATAACGTGCGATTTCTTGAATTTTTTCCATATCAGCATTTAGTTCAGCAAACCAAGATTTCAGATCTTTTTGTAGTACAACACAAGCTATTTGTAAACATCCTATAAATATATCCGTTAATATAACATATGATTTTTGTACACAGCAAAGTTTAAATTATTTATTTATATTGTCTTACCAATAGCTATTTGATATGGTGGATATAATAGACAAACATCTGTTCGTAGACTATCATTAATTATACGCCACGCAAGTGATAATAATTGATCATCTGGGCCAACATCTTGAATAAGAGTCAATAATGGACGATATGGTTGATATACTATTAAACAACAATCTAAATGTTCCAAAAGATAAAATTCACATTCCAAAATATGATTTGTACGGTAAGGAAATTCTTGCGAGTAGGCATAATTGAATTTATTTTTTACTGTAAAAATAATATCACATAAATTAGTGTATTCTTCTTAATTCACTAAATAGAGTAATTAATTACATACCTACAGTTTGGCAAGTTGTAATTAACCTGGTATTAGAAATAACTCCAAATTCTTCTACCTTGGAAGCCAAAAAAACTGATGTAGGTGCTAATAACAAGGGATCTATACATTTCAAACTATTGCGGGCATAAAATCTTTTAAAATAAACAGTTGCTGTAGCTATAACTTGTTGTCTTAGTTTTAATTGTTCACCTAACACTTGTATCACTAAAAAAAAAATATCAGACTTTTGTATTGTTTGCTTGAACGCGCATATAAATACATATAGTTATATTTTAGTCATGGTTAAGAAATGAATAAACTGAATTTCATAATAATAATGTTAAGTATATTGATAACATATATTAATTATATTATTCGATTAATTGAGAGATGGGACGTTTAACTTACGATTTGAGAAAAATATGAACAGTTTCTGATATTCTTCTTCCGTTAAAAGTGAAAGATCATGTTGTCGTTCTCGTACTAAGTCTTGTTTATCTAAAAGCCATTGTTGACTAAAAATATAAAGTATTTGATTGTTGTATAAAATGAAATCGTGAAGTTGAATTTTATGAATGTGTCTTACTGATGTGAACTTTGCCAAAAATTGCCAGCCATATTATTGTCAAATTAATTATTTGCAACAATAAATAGTTTCAGACCGCTTTTTAATTATTTCCAAATTTTGGTATAATCTGTTTTATATTCATCCATTAAAATTGTATTTATTTTAGTTATTACATGGTCATATTTAATATAATTTTTTGCAGACATCAGTGTATAACCAGTCACTGTTTATACATTGATGATTATTATTTAGATATATGTTTTCTTTAAAAATCTTTTGCCGAGTTTCGTCGATTTGAAGATGACTGTTTATAGGTTACAAGTAATTTTCTTCCTCGGTTATGGCTTCAAATTTCCCTATGTGTACAGCTATTTGATTTGCTAAGAACAAACTTTTAATAAGTCTAGAATTATAGTGGAAATTTTGCAATAATAACTGGAGATACTTATGGTAAGATGTATATTTATGCGAACATAATGATACCCAGTAGAAATATAAATTTTTATATATTAAATATAATATATGTCATATAGTATGTATGAGATATTTGTAGCTTACACAAGCGGGTATGCAGAGGTATTTTTGAAGGTACAAATCATAAAATATGTTCTTTTTGTCACTAATCATAGAAACGCACATGGCTACATAGGTTCGTAACATTTACACCTTTCGATATATCCTGATTCTTAATCTGCTGTTGTCCAAAAATTATGCAGAACACTTTGACTTTAACGCTCGAGTGTGATACCATCTTCAACCCCTGATGTATTTACATCTCACTATACTTATTTTCCATTGAATATATTCAAATAATTTCACTAGTATATTTTCGTAATAAAATATATGAAATATAATACACATGATATGCAAAACATGTATGTAGATAGGAAATGACCTAGTCGAAGAAAAATATGGATCAATGTTTCTTTCTATGCGTGGGAGGATAAGAATGAAGCAATATATTAATGTTCATGGTCAACACTTATCGATTACGAATCATACTTGGCAAATTTTGTGAAAACAGTGTTTAAAATTGTTATTAAAATTTCACCATCTTTCAATTGTAATATAAGCGATATTTTATGATATATTTATTTAAATTGTTTATAAGTTTCACCTTTGAAAACTAATTAATTGAATATAATTTTAAAAGATCAATTATCCAATGAACAAACATAAGATATAAATAAATATTGTTGTTTTTCGTTGTTTCAAGAATTATTATTGTTTGAATTATTTTATAATTTTATTAGGCGTACGAGCATTTAAAATTATTCGATCGTTCTTTTAAATTTTATTTACGAAAACTGTAACGATTTAAATAATTATAATATGTAGCACGATTTTATTTGTAGCCTTACGTATATATAACAGAATATTTACCGTTTTAAAACAAACCAGTATAGTTTATTTTTAATAACAATTTGCGCTATTATCGATCCATAATTACAACTTAATATCGGCCGAATAAATGTACCGGAAAATGTATGCTCCACGTTCAGGGACATGTTTAAATAAGTATACACGAGCCGATAGAAATAATAAAGTCAATACTGCTTCTATAAAATACTGAATAAATAACCGAACATCCACTAAGTACGTTAGCAAATTGTATATCCATGTTAATTAATCACACGTATCTGAAATAACAAAATAAATATAATCTAACAAATATGAAATTCATAGTATTTACATAAAAATTTATAACTACATAAATATATAAAACAGAGAGTAAGGACAGTTGTAAAAATACATTTGAAATACATAACTATATTTCATAATAAATTAGTGTATAAGACACGTTTTTCTAAACAGCGTACTTCGATAACGAATTAGAAATCGAGTATTCGATGCTTATAAGAAAATCATATAATTAGATTATACACTAATTTGTATAAAAAAATGATTTTCTTTCTAAATAAAATATATAATATTGTTTTAAACAATGATTCGATTAAATAATTTTGCAGGATTACGAGTAGTTATGTGCATTGTCCGCCATAGAGACGTAGCGCGCTTAATTATTAACAAGGCTGTATGGGTAGCATCGATGAATGAATCCTGTTGCGCAGACCGGTAGCTTTCATTGTAAAAGAGTCGATAGCTACCGTATAGTCAGTCAGGCTCGTGGCATGAACGTCGGTGCGCGAGTTTCGCCCGCTATTTTTTCCGTGATTTTAGCCGAAAATCGGGATCAAAGAGATTACGCGGTACGATTATATACGGATAGAATGATCGGTGTGTCAATTTACGAAAGTTTCTTGGATAATATGCAGAAGAAAAGATGTTTTCGAAACGAAAGCGACGGTCGGTAAAGCTAAAGGGAGCAGGCGTGGACTGTGGGTTCGAGTCGGGCGTGGGGATGAACTCTACGGGGAATGCGAGAGGGAGGAGGACTGGGGCGCTTCCTGTGGTTGGCACTAGCCTAAAAAAGCTCCATAAACAGAATCGCGGCCGAATGTCTTTTCAATGCAACGAAAATGGTGAAGTGTGGGAAAAGGTGGGCATTGAGTAAAGGCTTCGACAGTTCGAACCATGACAGAGGCGTCAGAGGAGTAAGTAATACTGTAACGCCTGTAATACTTTCCGGCGATTGTTCCGTCCCGAAACCTGAAATGTCCGTGCCTATGGCTTAACTCCTTCGCTCTCTTCGATATCACGTTTGTAATGCTGTACCTGACAGTTCTGCCCGATCTCGTCCCTACCTCATCTCCTGTCAACATTTTCGATGTGTATCAGTCAACACGTTTCACGTCTCTCGAATTTTCCTCAACCCCCGAAATAATTCTCTCCCTCTACGAGATGTGTCACGCTCTTTGGGCGTCTGTAAAAATTTACACATGTAACGTATGATTTCGGTTGGAGTGTTGGTGTGTTATCCTGTGTTCGTGTAAGGGTGACCGTTCATTCATTAAATCGATGTCAGCGCGTAACATCTGCTATCTCGTTGTGTATAACAGGGATTCTTTGGCTTCACGTACATATCGGTCTTGCGCGTTTTTAGACAATTATTGATACAATTTTTACGCTACGCCGATTTTTAAGTTTCTCGCTAAGCGTGAAATCGTTAATAAAATTTTATTTCTCATATATGTTTCATTTCATTCATATATATAAGCATGCAATGTTTGTTTGATATTAAAATATTTTATTGATTTTTCTCGCAATAAAAAACGTTTGATTAGATTCCGCATCAAATGACAATATGCATCATCTTCTTAAATAGTTTCTTAAATAGTTTAATAAGTATGTTGCTACTAAAAATATAATATTGGATTGACATTTGTCAATTTATAATATTAATTCTTTGACATTTCACTTTCAGTGGTAACTATCTGGTGAGGGTACGTGCCCAGGTAATGACAAGGGACGATAGTTCCGGTGGTTGGGTTCCTTTAAGTGGTGGTGGTTTAGCAAATGTTTCGGTTAGACGAAGAGCTACTTCGGGTGGGCACCAGTCTAATAATGCCAATGGATCTGGTATTTCTACTTCGACTGTCATACCCTCTATTACCAACTCTACGCACTCTGTATCAACTACAGCTGTCGCTACTTCCCAAAGTCATGGATCTTCGAGCAGTTCCCCGCCTGGTGCAACTAAGAAGAGGCACGAGTATCTTATTTATGGAAAACGGATCACAGATCAATCAGTAATATACATAATTATTGTTAAAGTTTATATAAGAGCATTTGACTGGGTTTATGTTGCAGACAACACGAGACAATGCCATTTTTGAGACTGTCCTTCATGTTTTTGTGGTTTGTATGTATTTTCTAAACATTCAGGGTTGGCTAAAAATATCAGTCTCTTCCCCATAAAGACAGTCTAACTATATTGCTCTCAATGGCAATTGATGCATCATAAACCCACACATAGTAAAAATGGATTCTTTATGTGGTATCTTGCAGAGTATTGTCTGCAAATTGCACTCATCGCATTTTGGGATATTACATCATTAAGAAACTACTCTGGAAATCATCTAAAACTGTCTTGGAGGGAAAATTCAGTCTCAGACAATTCAACCTTTATTTAAAAAGGAAAATCATTGTAGCCTTTGTATGGCTTGAATTGTTAGAATTATTGCAGTTTTTGAATGGCACAAATTATTCTTTACAGTTATTTTCTTCTGTGTTTTTTGATTTTAATTGAACTTATTCAATCAAGTTTAGTATAAAGTTCAAAATATTTGTTTTTAAACCAGTGCTAAAAATCCATTCATAATTGCTCAAAACATTTATTATTAATGTTAATGTTGATAATTATTCAGTGTAGGAGGTGTCTCACCAATTTCGATAATTGTCAATTATGTTATAGAACTTAACATTCTGAACAAATCTTTTTTATATACATATATGTATAACCCTCGCTCGACTTTAATTTCCAAGATATTTGTAAAATTCTGTTTGTATCATTACGTTGAATTTGACTTATACGTACGCAGTCGCAGCAGTGTGTGCGAGAGTGCCGGCGGCCGCTTATCTACTGTTTTTATAAACACATCAGCGGTTCACAATCGATTTAGTTTTCGAGATATTTGTAAAATTCTGTGTTACACCTGCCTGTGTTACGCCTGCCGGCGGCGACAAAAAATTCAACTTTAAACTAATTCGTAAAAACTGATACTGTTTTGGTAGTATTAGCTTTTATGAGATGATTTAGAGTTTGGTTAGTTTTCTTCTCGTTAACCTAACCTAACTTAACCTAACTCTATTGTTTTGTATAGTAAAGTATCGACAGAATTTTACAAATATCTTGAAAACTAAAGCCGAGCGAAGATTATATGTATAAGAAAAACTTGTTTAGAATATCGAGTTTTATAATGCATTTGAAAATCATTGAATTTGGTGAGGTGCTTCCCATTCTGAATAATTATCTTAATGTTGTATCTTATAGTTTAGTCAGTCATTTCGATAGTGTTATTTTCTTACAGGTTGTTCTTAGCTGTACAATTAAAAAAGATTTTGAATACAATAAGGTAATGCCAACTTTTCATCACTGGAGGACAGGAGAGAAAAGGTTTGGACTGACGTTTCAAACAGCTGCTGATGCAAGAGCTTTTGATAAAGGTGTTCGTACAGCTGTTGAAGAATTATTAGAAGGTAGATCATTATTTTAGTCATATCATCTTTCATATCCTTAGATTAAGCAATAATAGCATAAAATAATCGTTTTTAATTAACTTCTCTTTACGTTCCAATAATTTACTTATCATTTTGCTGCTACTTTTTATGGAATGTGCAAATGGTAAGAATGCTAGACTCTTTTAAATATGTATTTCGTCATAGAATCATGAACCTCTTGTTGCGTGTAATTATCTGATAAAATTTTGTTTATGATATAGGGTTGGCTAATTCAACATTATGCGGTAATACATTAGATGCTGGTGATGAGGATGTTTTCATGGTATGTATTAAATAAAGGTAAAAAGAATATAAATAATACAAATAAAATTAAATTCATTTTATAGACTTTGAACTTACCTGTGGAACCACCAGAACCACGTCCATCATCTGATACACCTCACGGCATAGTTCGAGTGCCCAATTATCATTCCCAGAGTTCAGATATTCCTGATTCGCACAAATCTATTCATTACATTGGTGGTGGATCATCTATAAAAGTACCGCCATCGCAACATCCTTTGGCATCGACTGCAGATGTTGGATCAGATAACTATCCTTATGTGCAGCTCACATCGCTTAATCATGAATATTTATATCCCATTATTGATGATCATAAAGGAGATCGATTAGATAGACATAATACCGGCAGTTCATTGAAGAAGCCGGATATTATAGTATCTCAACCTGCTAAAAATACTATGAAACGTAATGTTCGATTACAATGTAAACATTGCCAAGAGCTGTATACAGAACAGAACAATCCTAGAGGATCTTGTGAATACGCTCCTGATCCTATTAAACGTGGAATCGCAAAAATTTCGTGTCTCTCGTGTGCTCAGGGCATGTTGTACCACTGTATGAGTGACGCTGACGGTGATTTTTCCCAGAATCCTTGCAGGTGAGTAAAATATACAAACTGATTTTTTGATTAATTTTATTTAATTCGTTGGAGCTATTTCCTCAGCTTTATGGTAAAGAGAGTTCAAAATACAGGTTCTTGATATTTATAATGTATTCAACATTTGATTGATAACTAAATCGTTACTGTTTATTTTTGGGAATGTTACTAGTAGACAATTAAGAATACATTATAAATGAACATTAAATTGTGCAGTTGTAGCACAGAAGAAGGATGTGGACGCAGGTGGTTTGGTTTGGCATTATTTTCACTGATCGTTCCTTGCTTGTGGATTTATCCTCCACTCAGAGCTGTACATTGGTGTGGCACGTCCTGCGGAATGTGTGGAGGACGTCACCATCCGATGGAATAACTGGAGGAACCCTTTGATATCTCTGCTTCATACTTGGTTGAATCAGCTAACTTTTCTTCGTCACGTGGTGCTGTAGCCAATGTATACGAATGTCATGATTTGAGTATGGGTCGTTGTCAGAGGTATCAAAGGGGCAGACGGCTTCCAGTACATGCACTTATCCATCAACGTCATCTCTGAAATAATTTGTTAAAAAAACAGCAAAAGACAGAAAAAAATACGAGCACAAATTATTGCATTTAGTCCTAATACCATGTATATTCCATACATTTTGTATATTTTATTAGCAAAATGCATTATTTAGTCACATGTGTACATTAAACAATTTGAGAATGAACTTCATTTAGTATACTCTGAATGATTGGTCCATAATAACAGTATCTGGACTGACCAACTATTTGTGATACATGGTGCACACTGTGAGAATTCAGTGAAGAAATAAAACATGCAAAATTGTTTATTTCTAGTTTGGAAGTTAGTTTCTGCTTTGTGTGAAGATTTTTACAATAGAAAAACAACTGTTTGCTACACGATTATAGAAATTTTTATTTTATCATATGTAAATTAAAGATATTATTTATTAATTTTTCTTGTGTATTTTTTTTTTTTTCTTGTAAAATTCAAAGTGATGAAATTTTGTCACTATAAAATGTATTATTTGGATTCTCTTTCATTTTTTTGATGAAAGTTTTTATATCTTTATATTCTAACCCAGTGTCGACAATATTTGTACTATACTCTTTTATATAATTTTTTTAGAAAAAATTGAGTTAATTTGTTTCAATTACAAATTATATACAAAATGTATGTTTATCTTTTATCCTTAGGTATTTGACAGGCAAAGATGAAGGATTTAATCGTTTCAGTAATTAGTAAAACTGGTTGAAAAAGCTAGTTGCACATTCACAAATAAGTATCAAAATTGATGTTAAAAATTGTATCATGTTATTCAAAGAAATCATATACAGTCATTCAGGAATGACGGTGAATGTTTGTATGTAGTGAATAATTTTTTGTTGTTATCTATTGCAACTTTGTTTTTAAGGTACCTTTGTATTGTGCTCTTTCTATTTTTAAAATATCATTAATATTTATATAGTCATTTATCCGTTAAATGGAATTTCTTATGCTACTATGTTGGCATAATGTTAAATGCTAAATAATATCAGTATTTACTAGCATGGTACTTTCAGTACGATCAATCTTATTGTTACTTCATGCACAATGAAGATAAGTTTAAGAATCTTTAATAATACACATATATTATTAGTTTGAGGCTTACCGCAGATTGAAATATATTTTCAGTATTAAACTGAATGATAAAATGAGTTTTACATTATTGTAAACATGTACCTATATTGAAGAAAAATTTATGCATATTTGATTTTTTGCTTTTTATAGAATGCAGTGGATTGTTTACAAATCGAAATTTCTATTCTATAATGTATTATAGTCCTGTAACATATATATTTACTATTGTTAAGAAAATTCTAATTTACATCTATGTGTATTCTTAATTATTTTTCTAAGTTTATTAATAATTAATAGATCATTTTATTCTATGTATTCTACAATAATTGAATGATCTGCACACCATTTGAATGTTTAGAAAATTAAGATGCTTTTGAAAGAAGGACGCAGTTGGTTTTTAGCAATAATTCTGCTTATTATCGATCTTATTGTACATTCTTTATTATCAGCCAGAATTTAACTTTCGCTTTCCCTCATCTTTTTCAAACCGAAAAGGTAATTGATACAAGTCACTTGAATATTAGTTTAGGAGAAGGAAAGAGGGACAACATACTATTTAGCATTATGGACCAAATTTTTAATATCCTTACTTAGACCAATACCAAGAGAAACAATACAAATCGACATATCAGTTTTGATATCGCTCGAAACCGGATCAGATATTGGCTTGATTCGATGTCTATGCGCTAAGTATGGTCTGCATGTTTGGTTCTGTCACTGAGTGACAACACTTTCTGTCACCACCTCGTCAACCCGGATAACTGGTGTCGGTTCCGGTCTGTGTTTTGTCGCTCTTTGCAAGTCTTTGGCAGCTTGAGCAGCTACTGACGTTCCCGCTGTCACCGCTGCCCCTATTGGCCTCCTGTTAAAAATTCTCCTAACACACTTAGAGCAGGTTGATCATCCCGTACTCTACAACCTTCTGTAAAAAAACTGCTAATAGTGAGGGGATCAGGAAGGACGATGTCGCTGCGGATCACACAACGTGCACTTCACGGATCTGTCGGTAATCCGCGCCGTCCTTATTTCTAACATCTTTGTATATGTACTTGTGCTGTGTTCTAACTATTCCAGTGGAAAATCTGTGTAATGGCGTCAAACCAACGAAATTAAACCCAAACATTTTTTTCCTAGTAGCTGGATCATCTGATACCATCTGTGAATCTGTAGTCATGTCAATCACATGGGCCTCTGAAGATTTTACTTTCCCGTTCTTTGTGTCAATTGTGCCGCCCGCTAGTGTCCAACATCACTAGAGCGAGTCTGTGATGTAACTCTGAGTAGTGATATCAAATTCTGCCAGCAGTCCGGGTCTCCACGTACCATGCCAGCTCAACCGCTAGCGATATTGCCGTACCGCAGACATCCCCAACGGCAATGTAGGAACACAACTCCAATAGAGCAGAGTGAGTGTCTCTAATCATATTGTCGATATTAGTATTAGTAAACCATTGCTGCCACAGCTCGGTAAAAGAAGCCGCAGCGTATCCGTCTTGCCTGATGAACACGGAGATTTGTGCTCCTTCAATGTTTACTAATGAGGATGTACTTTGATAGGCGCAGTCTAACAGTACCAATAGTATTTTCTTAGGTCCCGGAATGCTCACACTATTTATGACCGGCATGAAGGTGTAGCTGTTAATTCTGGTCGTTTCCCAGTTTTAGTCTCGCCAGGTTATCCCGCTATGCCATCCTATGCACCCTGCCCACAAATTGCTATCCATAAAGCTAACTAAGTAGGGTATGAGCGATGAGTTTGCCAGAAAGATGTTTCTCACCGGCACCTTGGTCCAATTGCTATCTATGCCGGAATAGTTGAAGGTTTGGATATCCGTTTCAATGTTCTTATTGCCCCCATAGATATGGCGATATCTAAAGGGACAATGGTCAGCTTACACTGTGGGAATTTCCACTGATTCTTTGGAATATGCACTTTTTCGTTGTTAACCGTCACATCCTCAGTCTCAGTGCGTCCGATAAATTGATATTTGGATAGGTCGCTGGCATAAAGTTTTCCGTCTAACGACAGAAACAAGTACAAGGCATGTACCAGTGCCGCAACTTCAAGGGCCAATTCCTTTGTGTTGGTTATTTATTTAGCTAATGTTATTAAACTTGTGTTTTAGCTCCGTCATCCTTTCTGTCCCGCTTCTGTGTCGAGTACTGGATCGTTTGGTTTCAGTATTTTGTGATAAGGCCACAAATTGTCTTCCTCTTTCTTTATATTATTTAAAGAAATTAAAAAGTCCAGTGTTCTTCCAGGACGAAATTGTATAATCGCATTCAGTACAAATCACGTTTGAACATGTTTTACAAACGTGTACAAGCACAAAGTATATAAATTTATAATACCTATTTGTCCATTTATTTCTTACTCATTTATAGAGTCCAAACTATCTTCGCCCTGTTCGTTGTCGTCATCCTATTTATCAAAAATCTTAATCTGCTTACTGTCGCTTTTGGCATTGCTCAAAATGTTTCATTTTTTATCTACGAATCTGTTTAAGCTCTTCTGCAACACTTTTGTCTGCTTATTCGGCTCCACTATTACTTTCCTATCGCCTCTTTTACGTTTATCTATGCTAAATTCTTAATTATTATTCTCTACTAAGAAAAAAAATTACAAAAGAATGTGAAGGTTTCTTTTTTCTTATTCTAAATGCAATGATCTTTGACAACGCGAAAGGAGTACTATATTAGTTATTTCGAAAACGAGGAGAGTAAAATATAATTATGTTTTTTCTCTTTATTGTCAGTTTTGTAAGCCACAATATATGACTTTTTAGAGTTTCATGCACTTGATGGATCTGAATTGTATATTTAAATTTTAATTGAAAGGAAGTTATATCTGAATTTATTAAGATGCTATGACCAATTAAGTGTATCATAAGAGTATAGCTGTTTTTTTTTGCTCAGTATACATGACTACTAATATTAATTCAGAAGATCTAATTACAATTTTCAATCAAGTCTTTTAAGATGCCACTGTAGATGACCCAATGATCATGTTATAAATGTAGTAGACAGCTTTTACATTATTTTTAAAATACAATTTATAATCAATAGATGGTACAACGTGATGCAGCTTTAAAATAGCAATGTAAATTAATTACTAAATAACTTGATTCACTGAACATTCAATCTTCCTGCAGACATTTAGTTATTAAAAAAAACAAGAGTATGAAATATTTTAGAAACATATATAAACATTGTGGAAGACAACAAATCTATATTATTGTTCAATAAATTTTGTTATGTCCTATGTTTCTAGTCCAATGATAGGGATGTATTTTTAGTTCATTTTTAAATCGAAACAATCTTTTTACACCAAATTTCATTTTTCTCGAAATTTTATACATTGTACGTACAGATTTTATAAATCTGTACAAGAGATGTAATTTCTTTAGAAAGCACATTTAGAATATTTCACGTATAATGTACAATATATTTAATTCTCTTTTTATTTAATTTAGAATAATGCTTTTTGATTCTTTATTATAATTACCGTTTCGTAATGTTATGTGACATAGCTAAATGTTTAAAAACTGTGTTAGCATAGTCGGTTTTATGTTTATCTTTGCGAGTTAGTTACTTTATGAATATAGTTAATAATATTTCTAATACTTATCCCCTAAGCTCAATAACTTTTTTTATCTACTTATAAATAACTATCATGAAATAATGTTAAGAGAATTTTATCTTTTAGAATTTAAATATATAATTATATTTGTTAGTTTTAATTTGCAGATCAATTATAAATAATATTCTATAAAATTTGCACACAGAATAGAGATGCAATGGCTTCTTTAGATAAATATTAATATATCCAATGCCATATTCTTTTTTTACAGATTATATATTCAACAGGTAGTAAAGTATTTATGTATACACAAATAGATCACACTATTTTCTGTATTGGGAGAATAGTGAAGATAATGTTATTTTTACAGCTATATTTATTTTTTATGTAGATAAATATTTTTAGCTGTAGTTGATTAAATAGAGGTTCAGTTTTCATAAGTGGTTCTTATCATATTGTAGAGAATGCAATATGTTTTATTATATTAAAATACGAATGCCAGTATATTCAATGGAAATATGAAGTACATTGAGTAATAAAATTGCCTTCAACAAAACAATATTAATCAGAATTTTATTTTAATATTAATTATATTTGCACTTACATTGAATGAGCTTAGGGGGATATTGTGCAAAAATGATACAATTGGGCTCTCTATATATGTAATGTACAATTTAACATACGTTCATTATAAACCTGATTCCAATCAGGAAATATTTTTACAAAAAATTATATAAAAATTTGTAAAACTTAAAATTCACGGAATTAAACAAATTTTATTTAAAAATTTGTCAACTATGTAAATAATAACTTGTTTACTGCCATAGAAATTAATAGTTTAATTTCGATATTAAATAAATCATCTATCTTTGTCGATTCAAAATATTCCACTGATAGTTTTAATGTATACAATTTCTTTTTGTATATCACGATCTTTTCTTAGTTACAAATAAGTACAAAGTTATTTTTTCAATAAGTCCGTTGTGATGACTCATACCAAATGAGAAATACACATGTAATCATCTTCACAAGTGTAGTTTTGTATGACATAGTGTGCCCAAATGGATGTACTTCTATTTAAATTCTTTTAATTACGAAGTATGAGTGTAGGATGTGATTGATCTGAAATGTTATAACGTGTCTATAATTATAGTGATGAATAATGAACAGGAAAAAATAAACGTAGTTTGTATGATACTAATTATGACAATTTTGGTGATAATAATTATCGACACAGAGACAGATGTATATGAATAAACAAACGTGTAAATTTGTGTACGTCTATACGAACTGATGGACGTGAAAACGTATGCACGTTTAACAAATATGTACACATAAAGCTATTGTGAAAATAGTCAAACTGAGAAAATTCATAAAAGTGCCTGCCAGAAATGGAAAATGTGTACCGCATTATTGGCAGCACTCAAAGATGAACAATTAACAAAAAAGTTATAGGGTATTTTCACTGATAATGTAAATGCTGCAAGGTTAATCAATATGATTTTAATTCAGAGATTCATTATATCATAAATGTTTAAATCTTGTATCATTGTAATTAAAGATATGTATCATAATCTAAATGTATAAGAAATAAATATATTGTACCATGACAAAATGTCATATAAACCAAGTTTGTTGCTCTAAAAGTTTATGAAATACATTAAAGTACTTTCTGAAAATGTAATGTTTTCTTATATTACTGTTTATTAAAAACATTAATGTAACATTCGATTTATGTTATATATGATAAAATACATGTATTTTGCTAACTGTATAAACGAACTATGTACATATGTTAATTACTTATATAACTTATTTACAAAACAGATAATGTAATTGTATTAATGTGGAGCTGGTGTATGACCATCTACATAAAAATTTCTTGTTGCTTGTGGCAGTTCTAATTCTATACCATCTAAATCTTTTGTTAGTATAATTTGACAACCTTAAAAAAGAAATTTATATATTAATATTTCATAAGATTCATATAGAATATAAAGTATGTTGAATTTGTTTTTAGATACCTAATCTTGAATTCTCTTTTAAAAAAGGTGCTAAATCTAATAAATCCTCCTCCTTTTCTTCGGCTATTGGAAGTTTGTCTACATAATCATGATTTACATATACATGACAAGTGGTACAAGCAAGGGAAGCTTCACAGGCACCTTCCATTTCAATCCCATATCTATGAGCCAAATATAATACATTATCTCCCACTTTTCCTCTGATGGGTATCTTTTTTCCTGTCTTGTCAATAAACGTTACGTTTACGCTAGAAAGTATAAATAACAAATTGTATTTGAGTCAAATTTTATGTCAAGCATAATAAGTTTTCATACATCATAACTTCGATAAAATGATGCATAAAATATAAAAATTTTACCTACATATCAGCTTCTGATTTTGGATCCTGCATTTCATATTCGCCATGAAAAGAATCTGAAAAATGTTTATCAACGATGAAAATAATGATTTCAATGCAATTGAATTTCACGTTCAAATTATTTGTTTACATTTTTCTTAGCGACATCTATACATGTATTTCATAAAATTACAATATAATTACACTTTGATGTATGGATTTCGAAATTTGATATCACCGTTAATTGATTCACTGGTAAAAGTGCCCTTTTTATTGCGTGTTTCCACAACCAACGCCTTAAAATAAACGTCATTCTTAATATCACCTTGACTCCAGTTTTTGCTTCAATATTATAACAACAACGCGCAAGCTGTGCGACGAATCTACTAATTTTATTCCATTGAACGTAGGAAACGAAGATCAGATAATCGATGTAAGAAAGTGGTTATGTACTGTATTAATGTCTTATGAAGGTCATTATTATTTAGTACGGGGTAATTTAACTGATTCGCATTAACAAATCGATCAAAGCAAATCAGTTAGTATGACGAGTTATCAAATTTTGATTTACTAATTTAATAGAGAAAATTAAAATTTTGGAAAATACTTATATTCATAGGGGAAGATATATTGAAATAGTTGGTAGTACTTCCTATATCTTTTTACGTGCTACATTTGGTAATACAGACACACACGACAAATACATAGATCATTGACTGATGTGACAGGCGCTAGTATACATTGAAAGTGGGGCGATCGAAAGTTTGTATATTTTGGTGTAGTTTCATTTTGACATTGTGATTTCGGTTTACCGTGCGCGTTTCAAGACCCTAGAAATTGCCAGCGATGCGATGTATCAAGTTTTCATCAGCAGATACCGTTTGGCCGATGTGTCACACGGCAAGCCCTATTATGTTTACTGTATTGAAGTATTGGAGTCAGAGAGTGGTAGCCGATATTTCATTGAGAGAAGATACAGCGAATTCAGTGCGCTACATCGCACGGTATGTTATTTCATAAATTTACACGGACATTTTAATAGTTGTCGCGTGATTATCAGTTTTCGTTACTGTCATAATAATTTCAAATACGTGCGTTTGGCATTACGCGTCTAGAATCTCCTTTTCTCTTTTTTTTATCGTCAGCACTTTTATTAATTCCAAGTTCAGCTGTGCTTCATTTTCTGAATAAAATGTTTGTGCCAATGATGTCGTAATCCAGTAAAACTAAGTCGATATGTATTTTAGGATAAATAGTACAACCAAAACAGATTCTCTGTCACGGGACTGTTACGATGTAAGAAAGAGATAGAGATACATATATTTCTTCCGTCTTTTTCTATAGTTCTTTTTCGTTGCACGAACAAGGATAGCGCTGTTCAGTTGTATCTTTTTTTTTTTACCATTCCCTTCGTTTTCCTCATTCATTTAGTTCACATGAATAAACGTGTGATCCAGACTCGTATTCATAGATTTGGGTGCATATTGTGAATTATTAGATAGTTGCATGTGTTACGCAATGCGTATATGTGTCTGTGAATATGAAAGTGGCGTAGGTCATATACAATTTCGTTTCTAATGCAATTGCTCTTTACAACTGTGTACATGTAAATAAATGCGTAATAGAAACACTGAAAGTTGGATCATTTAATTTTTTTCTTTCATTTTTCTTCGTCTGAAAACGTTTTAATGATATTGATTTCACGGTGAGATGATCACACGTACATATTCATTTATTCTCGCTTTAGAGTGTAATAATTTTTCGATAGAATGCGATTAATCATATCAGTAGCGAAGTTTCATTAGCGTCGTAATGATATGCGATTTACGTAGTTGCTGTTCTCTGACAATTGACTCGTGATAAAACGATTTCATTTGCAAGCTTTATGTGGGAAGTTCGCATTTTCAAGTCATCTAAAGCGTAGTCAGCTCGTTCATAATTGATACGTCGCGAAGGAATTAATTAACTGTATCGGTGCTAAAGGTTTGTATTGTTGTTAACTGGTGGTTATGTTTCAAATTAATGTAAGTAATACTAAATGTACGAATTCATATTATTATTCGAATTATTTTTTTAATAACATGTCTATTACGAATATCGATTAATCATTTTTCTACAATTCATCATTTTCATTTTAAAGCATCATCTTGATATTGACATTTTCTAGATATTATTTGATTAATTGTTCATATATTTGTTTATTGATGAATATATTAAATTAAATTATACAGGGTATTCGGCTACCCCTGGGAAAAATTTTAATGGGGGATTCTAGAGGCCAAAATAAGACGAAAATCAAGAATACCAATTTGTTGATGGACGCTTTGTTAAAAAGTTATTAACGTTTAAAGTGCCGCCCTTGCTGAATTTTTTTCACGAAAATGCGCAAGATTTCGGGGGTATGTCTATTCACAAAAAATGATTGTAATTGACCCCCGTAACCGAAAATAATTTTTCCAAAATGATTTGAAATTTTTTCCCCCGTCGAAACATTTTAACACCTTCTCGAATTTTTTTCTAGAAAGTGGGTAGGATTTCGGGGATATGTCTATTAACCAAAAATGATTGTAATTGACCCCCACAATCGAAAATAATTTTTCCAGAACGATTTGAAATTTTGGAATTTAATTGTTAATAACTTTTTAACAAAGCCTCCATCAACAAATTGTTATTCTTGATTTTCGTCTTCTTTGGCCTCTAGAATCTCCCATTAAAATTTTTCCCAGATGTGGCCGAACACCCTATATAGTATAAAATCATTACAATTAATTTCTAATTAATTTTCATTGGCCATTTGAAAACTAATCAAAATAAGAATTTCGTATCTGATTTTTTTGTTATTTAATAATTTTTTTTTATCGAATATGATATTTCTATGTATATTGTATTGGTTAAACGCAGAAGGGGCTACATGTTGCCAATTATTTTTGAACAGTTCATTAAATTGAGTGAAATATTGTTTTCATAGTCTAAGAAACGTAATGGAGAAATAAATGGAAGAAATCGTACAGTTTAGTAATTATTTGGAACGTAACATATTTATAGATAGTCTATATACGATACGATAATATGTTTATTTTTATTCCAAGTTATAAAAATCTGCCCTACTTTTTTTCATATCTTTGCATCGTCCATCCCTCCATATTGTCCTCGTTTTAAAATAGATGATCGTTTTATGAATTATCTTAATACTTTGATGGTCGGACGTTTCGCGCGAAGAGTAAATCACGTATATGTGAGAACGGCCGTCAAAGTGTTAACATTTTATCAAGCAAGCGATTATCCTTTTGTGAGTATCGACCGTTATAATGGTTATTTTTATCAACGCTATAGTTCGAAACCAAACTGTCGTGATTGCTATGTGCTTATATGAATGTTTAATTGCAGTTGAAGAAGGAGAACGCGGACATCGCTCCGTTTCCGCCGAAAAGGGTAAGGAATTCCCAGCCAAAGGTGCTTGAGCAAAGGCGAGCAGCATTGGAACTGTACGTCCAGAAAATGCTACGGCTTTCAACCACGAAGCAACAGGTTCTCAATTTTCTGGGTATAGAAGGACGTGCGTCCGTCGCGACATACAAAAGGTATACGTGTTAGGGCATTCGGTAAAATATGCGTTGAGACTGGCATCAGGTGATTCCTTAGTAACACTTTCGCTTTTATTTTTTTTTTTTAGTATTAATATACTAAATTATATAATACATCGTTCTAATTAATGTTGTATTTATTTCAGTACGTACAAGAACACGGAGGAGACGCAGCATGTTCATCCCAGCTCTCTCGACCATCATCCTGTAATAACTTTTCATTGCGATCCGTACGCTCAATCGAACGCGACGTCTAGTCTTCCAGATATCGTAATCAGCGGGGTGCTTTTGGGCACGTACAACTCGTGATCGGCACGCAAGTTGCTCGAGACTGTGATACTCTCCACGAGAAACGATTAAAACAGTACCTTTCGCGGGGAGTCTTAACGAACAGAACGCATTCTTATAGAAATTAATCGATGGCGGAATGGGTTTTGATTGTACCCCTTTATCTCGACAGAGATAAAGCGACGGGTGCGCGTACGATGAATGTACATAAAAAAAGCAGATGCTTCCAATTTCTAAGAGTTTTCGTATGCCGATATACGCGATGACGCGTCCCTTTCTAATATTCGATACGAAGTATACAAGGTTGAATGAAAAAGATCGAATTTATCCGTGTAGGCGTAAACGCAATTAGGATCCGAAATGAACTGTACACCGCCATGTAACCATGACACGTCAGAAAATATACCTTGTTATATTTGAATCATCGTCTCGTTTATTTCATCTCAGTTTACATTACTTGTGACATTCATCTTAATCTATTAACATTATCGTATTGGATATCTGGATTGTAAATGTTAATGTAACTCATAAGCGGATCTCTTGCAGTATAATTCGCATTAATTCGTTTACTACCGTTTAGATTGGACATCACGGACGCTTCGAACGTATCAGCGTTCTTCGTGCAAGATGGTTCGCCCTCAAGCAACGAGTTAATGTCGAACGATGGGGGATCGTTATGTGAAATCGACATAATGGTGTGTATCCTTTTTTTATTTTTTTTTTTTTTTATTTTTTTTTTTCTGTGTTGTTTGGTAGGCGATCACGTGAACGGATGATTTCAGCGGGTAAGAATTTTTATCTAGCGCCTCTCGGTTAATTATAGCCACAAGATTAGCCTGATTCTGCTTCGATCGGGCCTACCGATTTCCTATTATCTTAATCTGCTCTATTCGAATGCTACGGGGAGCAAGGCATAAAGGGGAGACGTAGAGTTCAGACGGTGAATCGTTTGGTCCACTGGATCGGGCGTGTTTACGTTGCACTCAACGCATAGAGTCGGTGTTTCGATGTGCGGGGCTGCTGAAAAATAGGAAATCTCTCTCTTTTTCGCGAGCGTGTCGATGCTTCGCAGAGCGGTGCGTTAGAAAACATTTTTTTTTAACAATTCTTTACGCAACGGAGACGCCGTGACAACGGTAGTAACATATCGCGCTAGGACCTCGATTCGTTATGTACAACTTACAATTGTTTCATTTTTTTTTGTTTCTTTTTTTTTCGTTAAATGCTGATACAACTATCCTGTCATGGTAATAAACTGAACCTCCATTGCTAATCCGTAACTTTGTTCATATCAAATGTACTGCGTTAAATGTATATTATATACAAGCTCCTCAGTCTTCCGCGAAGTGTAAGATGCTTTTAAACATATTGTTACGAATTGTTTATCAAATTCTTTTACGCTTTTTTTTTCTTTTCTTTTATTTTTTTCATCGTTTGTACGCGATATCGTACATCGTGTGTGTATGCGTTTGTATGTGTCATATATCGAGCAAACGAGTCGAAGACGTTTCTCCAACGGCCTATATTCTGTATGCTGTCTCTGAGAGCTGGCGAGATATAAAAATTGTTACAACGTCGTTGATTCCCTTAATGTAAAAGGTTACGATTTTAGGAGCTTATTGCCCGTGTCTGGCAGTTTTCTGTAAACTTCTGTTCCTGTTCGGTGTCGTTCGATTTATTTGGCTCGTTCCGCGGCTATTCAAAGTAAAAGTACAAAAAAAAAAAGAACCGAAGAATCTAAACGATGAGTAACGTATGCTTAACAGAAAAAATCGTAGATCTCCTTTAACGACGAGTATCTCTTTGTGACTTTGGAGTGGGTGATCCTCTTATCGTACCAGTACCGATATTATCTCTAAACGCCTAATTAATTACTTATATCGTACAAAGTCTTGTGTAACTTAGAGTAAACGGAGCTGTTGGTCGCCATAATACGCGGACAGTATAGATCAGCGCATCGGTGAAAGGCAAATGTTATCGCAAACGAGAGGGGAACAATCGGTCGAACATAGTGAAATCAGTAGCATAAGTGTGGATAGCAAACTGTACCATTTCGCGTTACCTTAAGATAACCATTTAGATAGTGTCTCTTTTCCCCATCCTTACGCTAAATTAGAGCCGAACAAAATGTAATATGATTTAATTTGCCGCGACACGATTACATTTACACCGTGATCAGATGATAAATATACAGTGTGATTGTGTATAATTGCATCTTGGGTAAATGTAATCGGATTACAGTTTGCCAAACTCTGCTAAATACCGTGTCTATAACGAAAAGAAGCTTCAACGATAACGTTACGATATTCTCCCAACGAAAATAAGTATCACTGTACAAATGAGAATTACTCGTATGTCGGATGCATACAACTCGCACGCGTCTGGATACAAAGTACAAAGTATAAACGTCGACCTTTTATTTGGCGACGGTGCTCGAAACTTCTCATATACCTTGCGTACAAAAAGCATCGGGATCTCTCGGTTATCACTATCGTACTATACAAATATCGCCTGCAAGCGTGTTGCATGTCCTCGACAAAACAACGTACAAACTCGTCGTCGGTGCCAAATAAAGGGTCAAACCGTGGATCGTTGTCCGGGCAAGCGTCGATCGTCGTCGTAATTTTCGATAAAAGCAAAAAGAATATCAGTAACGCGACACTGACGGTGGAATCCCTTTTTCGAACGCAATAGTCAAGTACAAGATTCGAATCTATCGCTTGTTTCATAACAATTAAGTTCTCCAGGCCATTGTAGGTCCCTTTTTGGACTTGGCGTTCGAAAATGGCCGTTGCTAACAAAACTGACTTATTGAACGTGGTTGACTCAAATGAAAATCACAGTACAGTAGTCCCTCGCTAATGTTCGCTACTTTCTCCCTTGATATTGTTCGCGAAGTCATCCCCACCAATTTCTGGGACTGCATCGACGAGGTGAACGTTGCAAACCTAGTTAACGAATGTTCATGCTTCTTTGTAAACGTGAAAAATGAAACTTTAAACCAACAAGAAATACATAAGGACCAAACGAACTCGTAGCAATTAAAAATGTGACACGAGTGTATTAGATTCATGATTGCTAGTGAATATGTTAAAAGACGTAACAAAAATCAAATTGGAACATCTCCCTCGATAACGTTCGCCTCGCGGACTGGAGCCAGCGAACGTTAGGGAGGGAACGCTGTATTGTCTAAGGCGCAATTCGAAGAGCAGTCTCCGTATTGTGTGGATGACTCGTTTCGTGTTGCCTTCATCGATCACTCCTGCTGGGAGTACGCCGTACGCCTACGTCAACGCGATTCCAGCTACTCTAAGCTAATATTAATTAGGGCTACAATACTATGTACAGAAAACGCATTGCATTGGCACAGCAAATATGTGTACCCGGACTGCCTTCGTTTATCGTTTCGCTGCACACCGTGCAATTTTCACGCGCTGCCGGTAATTACATGCGCTTATCGTGTTCTTTCGTTCGCTAACCAGTGAATGGCGTTTAAATATATTCCCTTGGCAAGTTTACGATCGATTCGCCGCTTTGTTTCTATTTATTGTTTCGAGTTACGCGATCTTGACGAGCCTCGCGATGTCTGGATAGATTACAAATTCTTTGAAGCGTTAACAGACGTAGAGTCTTCCGAGTTTTATCTACGCGTCGCGTTGTACCTTTACAGAACACACACAGATAAACACTTTGTCTACAGATAGTACAGATTATCACGATACTATCTTAATCATCGGTCCATTTAGTCGCTGATATAACGATACTGTAAAGAAAGAAATTTTTTTTAAATATAATGCGTATTGGATATTATCATTGTATTTAAAAATTGTGCCGAGTGTGATTATAAGTGCAAACACCATGAAAAGAAAACGCACAGTTGATATTATGATAACGATAAAAATTGTCTAACTGGTTTGTAGCGAAAATAATATGGCGGATATAAAGGGTGTAACTCTTGAATTTAAATTTCGTCAGGTTTGAATGAACATGTAGAATGAAATTATACCATTTGTAGAAAATATTATTATATTTCCTAGTTAGTTACTTACAGGGTAAAAGACCCAATTTACTGTCCCCTTAACTAAAAACCAAATTCACGTATTAATGAAGTTTGACAATACTTTTATGCTGCATATTTTTATAAATGAAAACGTAATATATACTGCTATAAACTTTGTACATGTAATATCAATCATAACCGACACACTTCGTATTACATTTTAATTTGCAGCATTAATGAATAAATTAACTTACGTTTAAATTTTGTGCATTAATTCCGACTATTGAAGCTTCGAAGAATTCCTAGTCTAGCAAGACGTTAAAAATTTCTTTAAGACTCCCAAAATACTATAATTTTCACTAATATTCGAAGCGTTTTGAAAGCATCTATGCTTGTCAGTTCGAAGACCCGCTCAATACTTTGATATCAATTGAAATTTCGTTCGTTTACGATTACCGCTCGGATGTAAAGTTATTTGACAAATAATAGAGTGTGTCTTCAAGCATGCGTGTAACACGTGCTTTCCACGGGGCATCGTGAAACAAGCAAACTGCACGAGCGTTCAATACATAGTCACTTTGTTCTCCGCAGATGATCTCTGACGTCACGGTTCGACTAAATTGAATTTATCGAACAACAAATAAAAATTACGCAATCTGTTCCTAAGCACAGATGGTTCGGCTATCGAACGATCGTTCATATGTCGCATGTATCAAAGTCTATGGACGCGTGACGTATAGCATCGACGAGTGTTAATCGTTTGATAAACGGAAGTAGTTCGAACGACCTCGATCGCCGCTTCATTGTTCGATGGTTGTCGAAAGAACCGCTCGACTTCTAATGTTTCTAATGCATCTAGGCACGCGATAAGAGCTCGAATAAATCGCCGCTATCAGCCACCGCGATTCTCTAAGTGATTTCCGTTAGTAATAGCACTGTCGATGACATAAATAGGAGACATTCGGGAACATAAAAAATAGATTACAGAATGATCGACTGCCCTGAACGTTTCGTTCATCGAGCAGCGTCGATTCTACGCGGACCAGGACCGGGACTACTCGACGAATATAATTCGAATATTCAAAATACTCGAGTATTTAAATCTCACTGTTTGGATATTCGAAATATTCGACGGGTGAAATTTACTTGAAACGTGTCCTCGTTCGATACGAGACGTAATATTCTAAAATTCAAATTAAAATTTGTATTGAAACAAATAAAAAGTTTAAATAAGAACGTTTCCCGTACCGTAATATGGCGATTCGACAAATAGTCCCGGTCGTGGCGCAAGTGTATAAATATTTTTCTCGTACGAACAACGCCAGTCGCGAAGACGCGTCCACGAAGATGGCTCGCAGGGTTTGCGGAATAAAAAGAATTTCCGTTGCTATCCGTTGCGTTAGTTTTATTCAAATGCTTGCTAGGTAGTTTACATAACGTTTAGAAAAAGAAAACGATTACCCGGTTTCGGTCGACGATGGAAAAGAAACGGTACAAAAGGGAACGCCTTGCAGAATTTTATACAACGATTGAGATTATTCGCGAGAAAAGAGACAGGGCTTGCGCGGCTCCGCAACTAGCGTTTCAATTACTTATCGCGAGAAAACACTCGGGCGCTCGTTTCCTGTTTGCACTCGATTCACGGGGTCGCGATAACAAAGGAACCGTCGTTGTTTCAATTTCTCATTAGCGAAGCAAGTGTCAGCGTTCGAAACGCTCGCAAGGGGGAAACACGTCGATCAATTGTCGCGAGGTTTCCCCGCCTGTTTGCCCAAGCGGTTGGCAGTCCCGGCCTGTTACTGGAATGTTGCATTTACTTTACCTAATTAATGCGATCGTTATTACGTTACAGTCCTATTCGCTATCGCGAGACGCACGCCCCGTACGGGTATGTGCGAGCATTTCGTGGTCTTCGAACGTCAATTCGACTTTCAAATTCGAAGTGGCCTGGAATCGAGGCCGTCCGCGAGGACTTCCGGTACCGCGACCGGAATAACCCGAATACCTGCGATTCGTTCGAATCGTTCGAATACCATTGCTGTTACGCGACCCCTCCCCGCGCACGATCAAATCCCACGAAAGTTTTACCAACGAAAATGATACGCTTCCGATCGGAGAACAACGCGAAAGATTCGTGCAAACATCGCCCCTCGCCAAGGGGGTTGCACGAAAATTTCTAGCGGAAGTTCTCGCGTTGGCAACGGCACTGGAATTTCGATGACTTTTCAAATTAGACTGTTACGAAACATGGTTTAAGATGGAATTTGTCGTGGGAAATATTTCAGTGTCTGTTATCGAAACGTTTGACAATTAATTTGAAAATTAATTTTCCAGATTGTAAGTACACGTATTGTTTAAAACAGTGTTCGATACTTATATGCTAGATTGAAATTTTGTAGTAAATTAATTCCTTTCCGTTACAGTGCTTTGGAAAACCAACGTTTTTACTGCTCGACGTCCTTCGTTGTCGAACGCAAGAAAATAGAACAGCGAGTGTAGATATGATCTTCTTGTTTCGATCGTAAAAATATTCTCATTTAGACTAATTTTATTATCATTCGACGGTACGCAACTTATAACCATTATTATTTCTTCTTACGGGGAATAGACACTCGAAAGACCAGAAGGCTGAGTCCTCTGAAATTTTCTCGTTTATCCGCGGTAGCTAAAAAATAATTGAAACCCATTTTCGAACGAAGGACCATCCGTTTTCCTATCGAATCGACGTGTACGCTGTTAGAATCCGACTTTACTCGTGGCACATACCCTACGGTGGTAGTTTCTGTTGCGTCATACACGATTTCTGTTCTGTTTGCGTAGAAGAATCTTAAACCTTAAAGTGCCTCGATTTAAAACTGAACGCTACGAACGATAAAATTCACACGCTCGTTGTACGAGCGTTTACGCGATCGAATGAAAAAAAAATAGAAAAAGAAGACGCGATTCGAAACATCTCATTGTACTCTCTACAAGGAGTAATTCTCGTTCCACGCTGCAGCGTCGACGAAGATCAGTTTTAAACGGAGTACTATTTACATTGTCCTTATTACAATTAATTACGTTACTCTAATAAAATGTTTTTTTTTGTATACATACATGTACATCCATATGCCTCCACGATTCGTCTAATTTAGAAATATCATAGCATATAACAATTCGCCAATAATATTTATATAATTTTTTTTTTTCATCTCGACACAAGGTACCTAAGTTGGATGCTTTTGTATAATATATAAACATCGGTATTTGTAAAATATTTACCGCACCCGAGAGTTAGTGTCAGAGTCGCGTGCAACGAGACGGTCGGGTCGGCACGGAATTTTAATTAAAAAAGATCGCGGGCTTTCACAAAGACCGCCGAAAAAGTGTAATTAGCTGCCTCTCTTTATTTAGCGCGTTCTCTCGTAGTATATTTATCTACGCGGATTAAAGAAAAAATATATGTATATATATATATATATATTTTTTTTTTTGTATATATGCGTATATGTATATATGTATATGCAATAATGAGAATGCAATGCGTATATATACACATATGTATCCCGTGCACGCGTATGTATATATATAAACATTAAATGCGTACCACTGCTGTCCGCGTGACGAGTAGCGTAACGAATGAATTCTCGATCTCGTTTAAATGATTTCAACGATAAAAAACAATTTCTACCTATTTACACGACCTCCTTCCTACTTTTTCAGCGATTCGCAGACGTTTCTCGCTACGCGTCCATATTTTTTTCATCTACGGACCGTGGCTCTACGGCGGCCATTGTTAAACGCGTGTGTACTACTTCCTCTTTGTCTCGACCAATTCTTCTGTCCATTATTTCGCATCGTTCTCTCCTTCGACCGCTCAATGACAATGAGTAAAAATCGACGCTCAATGACAATGAGTAAAAATCGACGGGGGTAATTTGTTAACTTGATCTTACTGTTTCTTTGTTCGAAGCACGTTAGAATTGGCGCGGCAGTGTTGGTTAACATGCGACCGGGCACGCCCGTCCGCTACGATACCAAGTAATCGATGAAAAGAGGCCAACGTTATATATCCAACCGATGTAGAAAAAACGAAAGATAAATCCCTAACGATCTAACCATTCTAGAATTTCTCTCGTTACATACTAATACGCATATGATTAAAGCTAATTGTAAGTCTTTTTTTTCCGGTTCGTTTACGCGTATCCGTGTATTTACACGCGTCGCGTTCCCCAACCGATTCTAGACCATCGAGCGCGACTTATAAAGAGTATCGCGGTCGCGTTACTCGATCTACATTTCTCCTTTGTTCTCTTTCCATCTTCTCTTGATATCTGGGACAAACGTTAGCCGCTGCTTCTCGCAGGCACTCTATCCGCGGTTAAACTGCAAAGGAAATACGCCCAGTGTTCGCTATTACACGCTGGTAAGGACCGATTTACGCCATTGTCAAAGGCATCTCACCAAACAACGCTGAGACCCCTTGGCGTCACTCGACCGAGCTTCTTCGATGATACTTTGTCGCAGAGAGCTCCGGCACACGCTACCAAGTTTTCGCTAAGGTGTCGGATAAACATGCAGTACGAGCATTAACGGAAACACCGTGAAAATGAGTCCCACGAATACGTTGATCAAAGCGTCAATTAAGCCAGGCGAACGCGATCAATTCCAAGCGTCGAGTCCGCTTCTCGAAAGTTTCGAAAGTACTTGCACCCGGGAACCGCTCGGGTTCGCGTCAGACCGAGCAAATAATAAAATTTCCATCAACGTACGTTTATATATTAACTCTTCTTTTTTTTTTTTTTATGTACACAGGCTCGCAAACGTATTCGAACGATCTCGTCTCGATTCAATATTTACGAGCGGGAATTTTCAGAAAATTAAAAACAATGGAAGTTCAAAACAATGAAAGTTTTTAGTGAAAAATTGATATACATTGCAATATACTTCAAATCTGATGTGTATAACTTGTACGTTAGTAATATAATATTTTGTTTTAACTGCCAACGTTTGATTTAAAAACGTTCGAATATCTTCGCGCGCCTGTATAGTTAAAACTTGAACAGATTTCACGACGCGCTCCATTTTGCCCACGGACCTCGTTTTCGCTTTCCCTGCGCAGGATCGTCTGTAATAATAGTAGACTCATTTGCAACGCAGCGTTCGTTTACATTAAAAAGATCTCCACGCTTCTCTCGGAACACTCGCCAAACAGGTATATATCGATTTAACACGTCCCAGCCAAAAATACATACTCCTCGAAGACGCCGCGAGTACGCGGCAATGTTTCTTTACTAATAACGTGCTTCAGTACCACGATTCTCTCTTGCTATTTACCAATACTCACAGCACGGCAATAAGTGCACAACAATACTCGTATAAGTCTTACATTAGTCTCTCTCTCACCCTCTCTTTCACTCTCGTTCTTTCTCGCATCGTTCCTTCCTATCGAATATGTTTTAAACAAAACGCATAAATGAGGCACTTGCCCGAATCTATACCGGCCCGCATTCTCCCATTTCTGTTATAGATCAGAAATTTGCCAACAATTAATATACGGAAGGCACGCCTTCGTCTCGCACGAACGCTTGAAACGTCCCTTGGCGAGTCGACGTTCCTCAAACTCTTATCCATCCGTATTTGAAACAGTAGCCATAGACGTAACGATCCACCGTACGATCAGAGTCTACTCCTACTATCATTTCCTTGTATCGAAAAAGGCTGATCGACTAAAGACAGGGTCGAATTAAGGTATATGCACCAGGATCTATACTGCTACCTAAGTCAAAAGAACGTATTTCTCTTTCTTTCATCAAGATTTACATTCATGTACCCTAGGAAAACTGGAACTATCGTGACCATATTTCGTGAAAATGTAAATGAAGTTATAAATACTTAAGATCTCTTACATTCATATATTCATTTATGCTGAAAATTTTACTGTTAGTAATAAAACGATCCCGTACATAAGTCGATATCGTTGCAGAATAAAGCTATATTACAAGTTTTATCATCCAAATAAAATTATAAACTATATACCATGTACTATTTTTAAAATTTTTAAATAAACGTCAAATCCATAAACAATTGAATTTATTAGTATACAAAGTTTCTTAGTATTTTTCCGAGTTTCAATAACCGCGTTTTTACTGTTTTGCTGAAGTTCTTGGCACGAAGTCGCTTCTGTCAATTTTTGTGTTTTAAAACCGAGCGATGTAATGTTATTTCTAACTTTAAACTTTATGTGCTCAGAAGTTTACGAAATCTTAATGTTTTTCATCATCGATATGCCAATTTTCTTGAAACGGAAATTCGATAGTTCGAGTAAACCTCAAATCGCAGGTTACGCTGGAACGACAGACTGCTATTCAAAATGGCGGCGTCTTCCGACAGACTGTACAACGACTTTACACGCTTTACAAATTATCGTTTGAACGGTTGTACAAATTTTTGTACGAAAAGTCGTTACGTCCGTGGCTGTAAAAAGTTTCCTTTCGACGTTGAAACATTTTCCAGTTGAAATGTTTCCAGGAAGCGGGTCTCGCCGATTACAATTAATCGTGCTGTTTCGCGAGACTTTTTATCTGGTAGTTTCGTTGATCGCGTTCGAAACTTGGGCAGAAGGGGCGGTTTGAGAAACGACGTCCCCGCGCCGGGACGCTTCGTCTTCGTCCTTAAATCACCGCGGTACTAAGCACCTAAACAGGCCACTGCTACGAACACAATCTCCTCTGATCGTATCACATTGCACAACTACGAGCCGAATCCTTCGTTCCATCGTCCGTTTGTTTGCTCGTCCGTCCCTTCATCTCCCGTGTGTATCCCTCCATTGCCGTACTGTTGAGAAACGGAAAGGAAGAACCCGTGGAACCGGGTCTGGGTTTCTGCGCGATCTTAGCTCCCGAGCGCCTTGGTTGCGTCTGTCGCGCGGAAGGACAGTCGGATGGGGGGAGCGTTTAAAAAAATAATTCGACGTTCGCGTGTCTCTGCACGGGATACCGGAAGCACGGTCGTTCTCCGCGACGAACGACGACGAAAAAGGTGATCATTCCCGCGGAAACATCACATTCGAAGGTTCTAGGCAACGCCGGACACTAGGTACCTCAAACACTCGGTGGTCTCGACACTCGTTTGCTTAGTTTTCGTCGACGACCGTTAAAGCGTTGACCCGGAGTCCCGTCCGCGTTGCTCCTTGCGAGGGAAACATCTTCGAACGAAACGATCGTTGTGAAATAAAATTCCGCGAGACGGGGTCCTCAGGTCTCGCGTTTCGCCCCGTCGATCCAACCGTGGATCCTCCGTCTCAGTTCGAGAGAGAACACCCGGTGTCACTTGCGCGCCGCCTCGTAGGTCAGTCCGCGCCGGAAGAACATCGAGTTCGCCCCGACGCGTTTCTTCCGGTAGCTCGAGCTCCTGAAGAACCGATTGTCACCGTCGGCCATCGATCGCGACCTGGGCGGCGGGCTGCGTCTCGCGTCGCATTGGCTGGCCACGTACATGATCATGTCGTTGAAATTCGGCAGGAATTGCGGATTGAACAGCGAGAGGATCCGCTCGTTCAGTTCACGGGGATCGTGGGTGGGCACCATGTAGTGATCGTGGTTGTTCGTCGTCTCCGCATGACCGAAATCGGTGATCATCGGGGGATGACCGCGGCATAGATCGTCGAGGCTGTTCGCGCTGCTGCTGCTGTAGTCCTGCAGCTCGCTGGCTGGCTCGTTCAACGCGGTCTCCGTGTACTCTAGCGCGCGTAGATCGTCGTATCGTCTCCTGTAATCGACGATCCTCGACGTCGATCGCGAGTCGTATGCCGTATCCCTGGACGCAGCGAGGAACTCCAAGGACCTCTCGTCACTGGCCACCGTCTCGTAGATGTCCTCGTCGAGTCTGTTCGATCGTCGATCGAGCATGCAGCTGGCGCTGATCAGCGCCGGCCGGTTCTCGTCGTTGTTGTCCGCGTCTTCGTCATCGTCGTCGTCGTCGTCGTTGCGACCGTCCGATTCCGCGAGGTCGGAGAAAGAGGAGGAGGAAGATGAGCCGGAACCCGTCGGGTCCTGCGGCAAGCCTCAGACGGCCCTGTGTCGTCTTCTGTATCATATGTACGTCTTCTTCACCTTCTGCACCGGTTTGTTCTCCGCGGACGAGTTCGCGTTCTTGCCGTTCGGGTTCTTCGGCGGCACGTTCAGCACCAGGTTGATCGACTTGTTGTTGAAGCCCGGCGACTCGGAGCTCTCCGTCAGTCTGTTCAGCTGCTGGCGTTGCTCGGACGGCTCCGGGTACGGGGTGCCACGCAACCTCTGCGAGAACCAGAACCCGGAAGCGAAACCGGCCACCAGGGAGAAGAAGCACGTCCCTATCAGCGCCCCGGTCAACGTCTGAGCGGAGTAAACCACCGGTGTCACGATCACGTCTGCAACGAAAGGTGAATTAGCGTCGAAGGAGACACGGTACGACGACTTATTGCTTCGCGCGGACGGGGGATGGTTGGTTGCGAGGAAACACGGGACCGGAGAGGATCAAGACTACCCTCGAGGAGGAAAGTTTCTGTCGTCGTTTACGTAGTCGAAATACGCAGAGTGGCCATCCAATTTTAAATAACTAGCTTGTTTAATGTGGGGTCCTGTTTAAGAAATGGAAAAAGAAAGGAGAGGGGAGTATTAGACGCCGAGATATTGGAAGTTGGTCGAGCGCTTGCGAGAGGAACGGTCCCTCTGGTGGCGAGTACGGGAGGCGATGGACCCCACAGTAATATCAAACAAATTTTTTAGCGTAGAATAATGTAAAGTTTTCTGGAAGGACATTTCAAGGTCAATTTTGTTTTTTTTTGCAACGGAAATACAGGGCGGTCCACGCAACATGTGTACCTCTATAACTTCCAAAGTATGTGTTGCTCAAAACAATTTTGTATAAAAAAAATTTGGAAACTTTGGAACTTATAGAGGTGCACAAGTTGCGTGGACCATCCTGTATATTCTCTATGAAGAAGCATTTTTAGGGTAATTTCTGGTGAGATATACCTGAGGCAGAAAGGTTGGGTTAGATAGATGTATTAAAAAGTATATGTTTTTATTTTTGAAAAATAGAATTGACCTTTAAATGTTCTACAAAAAATCTTATGTTGAAATATTCTTTTTATATTCTCAAAAACAAGTGATTCCAAGTGATAAAGTCAGACGGGGTACGCTGTGTATAAAGTGAGCGAAATAGGTATTTGTAGTCGCAATTTTCTTGTAATAACTTTCCATAAACAAATAGTGTATCAAAATTGAATAATGTTTACGCCTCTAAAATTCTTGTAAAAAATTTTAGGAACACAACCGTGTCTCTAATAGTGTATATGAATTAACTTGTTCTGTTTCATGAAATAGAATACAAAAGTACAAATTTTAGCATTTTGTCTAATGTATCTAATAATAGAAAAAATGCTGGTATTCAAAAATATTTTTAGAAGATATAGAACGTTTATATACTTCTAAACTTTTAATATCAAACAAGTCGTATTAACAATGGTCATTCGATGACGAATATATTTTCGTAGCCAGATTTGAAATAAATTATAGAATTGATTCAATATGTATATATATATTGAGGGCATGGTTGTACTCTCAGAGCTTTTTTTCGACACAAATATAATATTTTCAGTACGAATAGGAAAAAGTTTTTGTACGAGGAGAACCTAACATGGGGTTGTATTTGCAGAATCTTCGATCGTGCGGAGGTGTATGATATGCAGCGATGTTGGGTATAAAGCATTCATCGAAGTGGCAATTACTAAAAGTGCAAGTTAAACCGAACACGAGTAACGTCTATTAATTTTAATAGGCCAACGATCTCAAACACATTGTTAGAACAAATTAGAGATTATTGTGTAATGTCCCCAAACAGCCGGTTACACCATCACAATCAATTCCATAGAAAGCACTTCGATATTAAAATAAGAAAATGTACAATTTACAGTACAAAATAATTTCAAAGACACTATCGGAAGAATGATTATGAATCTCGTCTAAAATTACACAGAAATTGATAGAATTCAAGCTAAGAAGATTGCAAGCTATCACTGAGGCGAAAGGAACACATACCAAAATTTAAATAGCTTATAATTATTAAAGTTTCTAATTACAAGAATCGCGAGTGCACAAATGCCTAATCTCATTTGGCCATAAAATTATTCCAGCATTATTTTTAAGGATACGATATTAAGATCTAAACAAACATCTGCACATATTACACAAACAATTAAAGAAAACAGTTGAAATGAGTATATAATTTGTTTAAAAAAAGTTATTACCAGAAAATTGGGCGTGCAAATATTACTTTTGCCGTGTGTAATTCTTCGCCGTGGAACAGCGAGCGAATCGATGACGTTACGTTTTACGTTTGTCGATTGAAATCATGCAGTTGGCATGTTATTAACGTTTCCATTAATGTGAATCAGTTTCTTGCCCGATGGCGGCAATACATATTTATACGTACGTCGGGACTTTATGTTCGATATTTGTGAATACATTAATTCTGAATTGCACTGCCGATCGATCTGTCCTTTTCAATATTCGCGGCTGGGCCGTTCCATGCCAAATCGGGCATTCTTTGGAGTAACATTTTGGGTTTTGCTCGAACTTGGATACTTTCTTTTGCTTTCTGACTACTTTCCAGATCCGTGAAATTTTATTCTATGTATTTTTGTATTAATCGATATTAATTTTTAATCTTTTTGATACACGTTCTTCATTGTATTTATTTGTAACAGAGGTGACGCGTGAACAGTAAATCATACGACAATTAATTAAAGTTAATTGATGCGATTCTAAGTCCAGGTGGCTGCAGCTGCTATCGTTATATATTGAGATCAAACGCTGCTACCGCAATTGCTCAATTGAGCGACTGCTAGCATTGGACAAATTAATTTTAAATTCGCCCCAGCGGAAGAATATACCTGATTTTGTTTTATTCTTGGTAAAAAAACTGTCAAAATTATAGACTAGTTAATTTCACAATCTGTTATCTATTTAAGTAGATATTAATTGGAATGATAATTTATCTAATTCTATTATAATTTGCCTTAATACAATGCACATATTCTGGATAGGGTGTATTTTAACATATGGTGTTTATTTTAATGGTGGACAGGTGACACGAAAGCAATTAAAAAGTTCATATTATAATCATTTTTGTACCCTGATGATTCTCAACCTCCTGACAGTCTAAAAGTGAAAAATTCCTCGAGATACGTACGTTCAAACATCGCTAAACAGTACAAAACATTGAAATTTTAGTTAGATCCGAAACGTTACTCCAAGAACTATTCGGTTCGGCACGAAACGACTCGACGTCGATCTATTCTTCACAGCATTCGCTGCTGCATAAACGCAAATGCAATCTTTCCGTTGATATTTCTCGCGATCCCTACAGTTGATCACCCTCTTTTCTCAAACTTCGTCCACGTTGCGTTCGCAGTTACGCGGAACAATCTGCTTTTAGTGTGGTGAAAACGAATCACAAAGCTGAATTGCTCGTGTAGAAACGTATCCGCCGAAGTCCACGAAAGCAGAAGTATCATTGGCAGTTCAAGAGATTGCCTCCGAGGAGTACATTCAATTCGAATGATTTTATTCGTACTGCTACAGACGTACGAAAAATGCGAGACTTTCGATTAATACTAGGTCGTTCGAATACAAACCGATGATTTGACATATGATTAAGTTTAGATTGTCTCTAAATTGTACGACTTGTTCTTGCACGACTACAATCGTATTCTGAAACGTGAGCAACAGAGACGTTTAATAATAATAATAATTTTAAACAGATGTACCTTATCAAAAATGAAACGCTTAAAACAAAAGAATATTGATAAGTAGATCTTTATGCAAATTCATATTTTTATTAATAGAATTAATTAAACGGTAGCTATAGAGAGCTTCGTAGAGGGTTGTCTCAACTCCTAGATACAATAATTCGTATCTTACTTACATCCTGTAGTTTCTTGACAATCTAAATTTCTCAAAAATGCATAAATATCCGCAGTCTACTAATAAATGATGTAGCAGATATGGAGACGTATCATTCAAGTCAATATATTTGAATGACTAGTACTGTGCGTCCTTCAGAAGTTGGCTAGTGAAAAGAATGCAGGCCTGATTGGTGCCTAGATCCCCACTCTAGACACTATTGGCCGCTATTGGACGAAAGGGGGAGTGGGTGGAGCAAGCGACTACTAGCCAACTTCTTGGAAACGCGCAGTAGAATGCACGCCACCAATCAGACTCTGCCCAATAGGAAGCCTCACACATTCCATGCATCCGTGGTAGCACGATCAGAATCATTCGAATCGAAGATACTCCGCGAAATAACTCTTTTCAGCTGTCGATGATAGCCCTCGACGTAGAATTTCATGGTTGGAGAACCTTCTGCACGGGTTTTAGCGGGTCCTTGTTCTCTACTTGGGCGTACTTTCGATAAAACCAGGTGACGGGGAAACAGAATGGCGGTGCAACTAGTTACAAACAACAGGGTGAGTACGGTGCACAAAGTTAGGACACACTGTATGGAGTTAACGTACGAGGAGAGTCGCGAGGTGTAACGAATAAAACCAGCTTGAACCTTGAGGTAAAAACGGTCGACAGGATTACGTGGTGTGGGTGCGTGTGTGCGTGTGTGTATGTATGCTCAAAAGCGTGGTGTTTGGGAGTGGATCGTGAACGACAACTAATGAATAAGAGTGAAACAGAGAAAAAAGAATGTATATCGTGACACGAGATGTGGGTGGACCATCAGGATATTGCGCAAATGATTACCTTGAGGCTCGTTAGCTCGTGGCTGCGTACGACCGTACTGATTTTCTCGATCCAGCTCGATGACGATTTCATTGTCCCGTTCATCGGGTTGCTCGCCTCGCCCGATTTCGGGCGGAATCGCTGGTTGCACGGGTTTCGCCATCTCTGAAGCAACATTTCACCAATTTGATGATGGGGGACACAGATGGCAGTCGGATTCAAGGTAAAAAAATGATGCTCGAAACGTAAAGTAATGCGATGCACGTCGATATTTGTTCGTCGATAGTGGCGGCGGACCAAAATTGATACATGCGACTGAAAAATACTTCGCAGAAGCCGTGCAAACGCCGAACTCGAGCCACGGTGAATACGGTTGCAGGACTTCTGAGAAACTAAGTATGATATTAGCAAAATGTATTGTTCAAGAACCATTTATGGAACGCCTAGGGTTGCCGGAATCATCGAAATATCATTCTTATACTTTTACATAAAATACTTCGTCTTATACGGGGCACGCAAAGTGTACCAAAATGGCCGCTGGCAAGGAATAAATACCAACCCTTTGTTGCATGGCTGCACACGGTCACTGTTAATGTTTACTCAGGAATATTTACAGTCATATATTATTTAATTCGAGTATCGATAGATGTACAAATAATAAAAATATAATTTCTGTTTTTAGTGGTAAAATTCATGCAACAGAGGGTCAAGTGAGAATTAAATATTAAAGTTCTCTATTCTGGCTTATTTTGCTCGAATTTTAAGAATAATTTCATTTTTCCAGGATGCGTACCCCAATGCTAAATTTTTCATCTGGCAACCCTAGGGAAATCACAGTGTCAGGCACTGCCAAAACCATCGTTGACACGTTCATGCTGAACTTTTCTTATGGTTACTCGAGTACACGTTGACCGTAACGAAAGACAGACAATGTTAAAATACCATCGAAATGGGAATAAAAATTAAAACTTTCGTTACTGTCAACGCGTATCAGCCGTGAATGATCCCAAGGCGATAATCTGAATGAGACGTAAAGCTGTAAATGACAGCGCAAACGTGTCAACGTCGTCGAGAAGTATTTGCTTAGTTAGTTAGAAAACGGTGTATTCCCCTGTGTTAAAGACAATGTTTCCCGATACAGCTATTAAAAAAGGAGGCCACTAGGATCTTGTAATCGAGAAAATACCACTATGGCTCCGATGACAATGCGTAAAATGTCACGCGGCATAGATGTGAGTATGTGGGCACACGAAGTGGGCATGAGTTGGTCGTTAGCAGTGAGAGATCATGGCGGAGTATGCAAGGAGCGTTAAGTATGGGTGACGGTGAAAGGGTAAAACTAATTGTAAGTAGCTGTCACGGTCAACGACCGAAGGGAGACCATCAGAAACGATACGTTAATCCGCCTTTGCTGATTTCGTTGTCCGATTATTACATCGTTGCCTATTTAAGGACCATGATTTACGACTTTACTTCCAACGACAGAATTTTAATCGACCTGTTTGTACTATTTTTATTTTTAGGAAGGAGATATCATAAAAAATGGCCAAATTTTTGTATCGTTCCGGGATCCATAGTATATCGATGACACATCATTTTTTAGATCCCAAAGATGTGTGAATTATATACAGGATGAGGCACACACGGTTTAGTACACACGATTTTTCAGCCCCTTTCGATGGTCTGACAAAAAAATGTTTTTTTATAGAAGTTAATCAGTATTTAACCGACAAGAAATTACAGTTGCTTAAATTTAAAAACAAATTGATTTTCGATAAAAAATTGAGGTCACTGTTGTATTTTTAATTTTATAGTATTATAGTTATGTATCGTCGAATAATTTCAAATATTGTGGCAATCGATTCATGGCAATTTTTCTTCTAATGTCATCTGAATTTGCCTCGACGTCGCCTACAATACTATGAAGTTAAACGTACCTAGTTTCATTTAAAAATGCAACAGTGACCTTAATTTTTTGTCGAAAATCAAATTGTTTTTAAATTTAAGCAACTGCAATTTCTTGTCAGTTAAATACCGATTACCTTCGATAGGAAACATTTCTTTGCTAGACCATCGAAAGAGGCTGAAAAATGGCGAGTAAAGTGCCTCATCCTGTGTACAATACGATAAATAAGTTATTAAAAAGGTGATTAATATTAATAGAAAAACAGCACTTAAAACGACCACGTGAATCTTTCAACTCACATTCAGTCTACAAGAAAACAATTAATTTTAGGAGTTCTACTTGCTCAGACCGTCGTACCAGGAAGCTTAAACACCCTACCAGTCGTGATACTTTCTACGGATTGTTGAACGCCGTTTCGTAAAGGAAACGTGTTCATCATCGCAATAGCGCGAGTCGGACAGTAAAATAAAAGCGTTAGAGTCGCAAGTTAATAACCGCAGTCGTCGCGGCGGCGTCGGAATTATTTTAATCTTCGTCGCTCGCCATGTACCGCGGTAATTTGTTTTTCGAACGAGTCGTTGACGCTAAATAAACACGACTCTGTGGCTTCTATCGGGGCGATACAAACTTCAACCGAACACTGTACTAATTTGCAACGTTTAAATCGCTTCTCGTATATCCCGTGCACCGTGCGGTATTCATTTTATGGCAAACACTTCTTACACGGAATTTCAATGACGGGTACAGCGAGATCTCTACAACGGGCCGCGGAAAAATCCAAGAACCGTACGTCGTACCGGTTCCGTGCGACTAATGCTTGTTAGTCGACCAACCTGTGTGCATGATAAGGTGCACGGCGGAATAGGTTTTGTACAGTTAGAAATTATTCCGCTACGAGTTTATCGAAGCACGTCTGCGGACGAAGAAAATTATACGCGTCTCGATGATAAGCGCCGCGCGTTCTTGCGTTTCCTGACAAAATACTGGGGAATCGAGCACACTTTCCGCTTGCAAAATCTCCTCGCTGATACCGGCACACACGCTTCGCGACAAATGTTAAGAAACAAAATCAGCATACGCGAAACACTGTTTTTAAGGGTGGAAACCACTGTGATGGCTGAAAATAAAAGCAATTTTCAAGAATTTGTTTGAGGGCTAACTTTGAAACCTTCTCTAATAAATATTTAATGGCTTCGAAAGAATGTTTCTTGAACTACTTTTTGTAAAAATTTCGTATAAAGATATTAATTATTATAGACATAATAGCAACCGGTGTGAGGGGCCTTTTTTAAAATTTTGGTGTAAACGGGCGGACGTATAATTTTTCACTGTAAATTCTAAATCATGCAATCTTTTTAAGCTATAAGACAGTAGCTTCACCTGTACGTAGGGATTTATAAAAATTTATTATAAAATGGTGAAACTGTGAAAAAGTTAATATTTCTTTTAACATCATGTAGAAACTAATTATTCGATCGAAAATTCCGTACGTGAAATTGAAGAGAATTGTATTAGGAATTACCATAAAAAATTTTGAGTAAATCGAATGAAAATTGACTGAGTTATTGAGCCGCTCAGTTTAAAACAGTTGGTTTTGATAAAAACGCGTTTAAAGTTTCATCCGCTTGATACAAATACACACCACTTATCGCTCTAAACTAAATACTCCCATTCGTATGAAAACTTGACCGCAGTAGAAATAATAAAAGAGTTTCAAACGAATGTCCCAAAGTGAAGAGCAGTTACTGCAACTTTGCCATTTTTGCGAATATTTCATGTGGTCATTCTTAAATCCCAAACATTAAAACGAAATAAAAAAAATTTCGATCTTTCCAATTCGTCAAAGTGGTTTCCCCCCTTAAGCAACTTGAAATACTCGAGTATTTTAAAAAGTACTGTTGTAATTTTAAAAACTCTCCTAACAACTATTCGATCTAAAATACATGAAAAAGAAAATTTATTTATCTCATTTAATTCGAAAAATCGTGCAATGTTTTCTGCACGCGTAGAAACTCGAGATAATCGAGGATAATGAAAAAACAAGATCGCACAATGTTTCGGGCAATTAATCGTCAAATGTCGCGGAACGAAGAATGGTCTGATCTGATTCGCTTCGTACGCATTTATGATCCTTTAGTCATCCTAATTGCGGCCCTGTTAACTCGCTAATAAACAATGCACGCTCGTTGGGATTTTTAATTGCGTCGACCATTGAGAACGGAACGTAAGTTTCCAACGAACAATTTCGGAGACGGTCTCGCGAGGTATTCTTCGCTACGGGAATTTTTTTCGCGAATAATTAAGCAGCTGTTCGCGATCATCGAGCGTCGAAAACCCATTACGGCTGATTAAAATTAATTGGCGGTCGCGCGATACGAATCTCGCCGGGTTAATCCGCTTCGTGCGGATTTAATAACGCCGTTGGCTCGCCGCAAGCACGACTCGTTACGTCGACGTTCGACTTCTATCTTGTCGCGTACGGGCGCACTGTATCCGAAGGATGCTCCTTGCGTTCGAAGTTATGTGTAATAACGCTGAGTACCTTAAGAGGCAACTTTCTTCCGCGATGGCCCCGTAAACGCGGCAAGTTCCATGCAATTCCGCCTCTTAGATAATTCATGGTCCCAATAAAAGGCTGGCGGGTCAAACTTGCTTTCGTAGCACGTTTTAACATCGTCGTACAATCGTTTCCGAAAAACGTGAGGGGTCGAAGCTGTCTGATACGAGCCTAGGAAAAATTAAACGTCGATCCAAATTTAATTTATATTTTCGCGGATAGTGACTCACCGGTGACCCACGTCGGCTCGATGCGTGAAAACCGCGCATCGCGCCATTTGTGGTCGTTTCTAGGGCGGTTGTGAAAAAAAAAAGAGAAAAATCCGTTCCATTAGCGGTCAAGCGAACGAAATGGCACAACGCGGAGGGGTAGCGCTACTTGCGGTTGCTCCATTTGCGGTCGCAAATGAAAGCGTGACTTCCGTTCATAGAGCTTTCCTTTGCACTTTGGCCACGGTTCAGAACAGCGAAAGTGCAACCATTCTAAGAAGAAAGAAGCCCAACTGCAAACGATTATCGTAATTGCGAATCTAAGTTTCGTTGAACGATAACATCTTACCCAAAGAGGGATCATCGCTATCTTCGTATATCTCTTCATCCTCAGAAACTTTCATTAGAAACTACAACTAATCTGTATCAATTTAAGTCGATGAACTATACCACTTTAGAAGAAGATTCGAACAGTTTGAAACAGTTTTTTACACCAACATTGTAGATCAAAGTGAGACACAAGATGTTGGAAGCATTATTACAAGCAATTACAAAAGTTGGGATACTATAATCAGTATACAGGAGACGAAATTTATCATTTCGTTGATAACATCTTACCCAAAGAGGGATCATCGCTATCTTCGTATATCTCTTCATCCTCAGAAACTTTCATTAGAAACTACAACTAATCTGTATCAATTTAAGTCGATGAACTATCAACCGCTTTAGAAGACGATTCGAACAGTTTGAAACAGTTTTTTACACCAACATTGTAGATCAAAGTGAGATACAAGATGTTAGAAGCATTATTGCAAGCAATTACAAAAGTTGGGGTACTGTAATCAGTATAGGAGACAAAATTTGAATTTCCAACAAAAGTAATAAGTTGAGGGGACGATGACGTGCGACTGGCAAAGTCACGTAAACACAGCAGCGGCCATCGAAGTGTTAAAGATTGTCTTATGGGTGAAAGTGCAACCATTCTAAGAAGAAAGAAGTCCAACTGCGAACCATTATCTTAATTGCGAATTCCATTCAAGTTTCGTTGAACGATAACATCTTACACAAAAAGAGATCATCGTTATCTTCGTGTATCTCTACATCCTCAGAAACTTTCATTAGAAACTACAACTAATCTGTATCAATTTAAGTCGATGAACTATCAACCTCTTTAGAAGACGATTCGAACAGTTTGAAACAGTTTTTTATACCAACATTATAGATCAAAGTGAGACACAAAATGTTGGTAGCATTATTGCAAGCAATTACAAAAGTTGGGATACTATAATCAGTAGACTGCGGATGTTTATGTAAATGCATATGTTTCTAGAAAATAGATAGAAGAGTGAAACCTAAATAGAAGTTTGTTTCATCACTAGAGGTCCTGAAAAATATATTTCTTATTTCACATATTTTGCATATGGCATATGTTTTGCATATTTTTTATAAAAACATGTCGAAACATACTGCATATGTTATATATGTTTATTGCATTTCTTTTCATAAAATTAATGCTCAATCTATTAATCCATACGATAGTAATGGCAGAAATGATAAAATAGCTATTTATACATCTCGTGTTTACCAATAGTGAATCATTAATGATACCACTTCATAGATGGTACGAGTAATTCTGAAGTATTCTTGGCAGATAGGTTCTACAGAAACGAGTTTTATGAGATCATTATCAAGATTGTTAAAGAATTTAAAACAATTAAAGTATGATATTTCAGCAAATTCAAATATGCCCCAATCACATCTTGTAACATTGTAAATTAAATTATTATTATATTTAAGCAATAAAATTATTTGAACATATTTTGAATATATTTTGCATATTCCTGTACATTTTGGCATATTATTGATACATATTTAACATATATCACTTACATATTTAACATATTTTATTGACATAAACATCCACAGTCTAATAATTAGTATAGGAGATGAAATTTGAATTTCCAACAAAAGTAATAAGTCGAGGGGATGATGACGACGGTGATGCATGACTGGTAAAGTCACGTATACACGACAGCGGCCGTCGAAGCGTTAAAGATCGCCTTATGGTCTTCATCGACAACTTTTGCCGCTGGCGGAACGGCGAAGCAACGCTCGTTAGCGGCGGTATCGGACGATATAAACCGATGCATAAATTCCAATCTATCCCCCGAAGCAGCTTGTATACCACCGTGACTGTGTTGTACACCGTGTCGAATGTCATAAATCGATTCCAGGATGCATTCACATCGGCGCGATAGCCGGGGCTATCGCATCTACATACCCTTCGACCGTGTCTCTGGTTGCAAAAAGTGAATCGCGAGCGTCGTGGTGTGCGGCAACCCCGGCCATTCATCGGCCAAACACCCGGCCATCGGGGCAAAAATTCCAACGTCGACGTCCGGAAGTCGTCGCGGGACGAAAAACGGAAGAGAAGAAGATCGAAGTATGCTCCGCGACGCGACTAAACGGGCATTATGGTCCATTGGACGAAGAAACGATCGCGATGTGAATTTGATTAAAGCGGAAAATCGATGGCGGCTGATATAACGCGCTAAGAAATATAAATGGCGACCAAGTTCTCCGTATGGCACAAGTTTAGGAAACGAGGTCGAACAATTTCTCTTCGTCCACAATCTTTGCTTGCACAGGTCGCAGAATCGTTCCAATTCGTGCAAAAGTAATCCCTGCAAAATTTCAACTCGAAAATGAAACACAAAACGATAGAATTTAATTTCGATACGATGGAACCAACATGGCGACGAGTGCTACTATGACACAAAGGGTTGAATATTGTCTTCCAAATGGACAAAGGAGACATGCGATAGTCATAAGTTCTGTTACCATCAGTTTTCTACCAAAAACTTGTCTTAGAACCATGGAATTTGATTTCTATAAGACGAGACCAAAATGGCGGCGCGTGATACTAGGACTTATAGGGTTGAACATCGTTTTCGAATTGAACAAAGAAATGCAATAATTACAAGATCTACTACCACCAGTTTTTTACAAAAAAGTACTCCCATAATCATAGAATTTAATTTCAATAAGACGAAACTAAAATGGCGGCGTGTGCTGCTACGACTTATAGAGTTGAACATCGTTTTCGAATTGAACAAAGAAGAAATGCAATAATTACGAGTTCTAGCAGTTGCAAATTCACGAGGATCCGTTCCGGAGAAGCAGGTCGAGCGAGACGGGATTTCTAACTGTATTCAGGATCGCGAAAGGGACATTGAAAATTCCTGTTTCTGAACGGTTGATCCTCGGATGAAATTCTTCCTTGGAAACTTCCTCGAGCTGGTCGTGGAACCGATTAGGAATCGCAGCGCGTTGAATTCTTACGGATGACTTTCCTCCAGGCATCTCCCGCGAGAGCTGCGTACGCGAAAAAGCGACGGAATAAGGCGTCCCCGTTGCTAACAATAAGTAGTCGAGTCGCCGTCACGGTCGTTGAGCGAACGAAGAAGCTTCTGGATGATCCATCGCGGAGTATCGTGCATAGCTATCTAACAATCGTGCTACCCTAAACTCGCGAGAGCCTACCTGAACGGAACCGCCTGGCCCGGGAGAACGAAAACTTTGCAAACTTCCTCTTTGGCTGACTGTATCCGGGTCTGCAGTCGGGACACGCAACTTCTTACATCGAAATGAAGCTAACTAGGGCTCCGCTGTTGCGCGAATTGTTTTGAGAAACGGGATACTTTAACGTCGCGGAGCACTGCGTCGAAAGAGCGGAATTTCGAGTCTTGCGGAGCGGGATTCTTCAAACTGTACTCCACAGACTCTTGGGAGAAGAGTTTTCTTTGTAAGAATTGTTCAAATGAACTAAGAACGTGGCAGACTTTGAAGATTATGTTCAATTAAAAATATGAAGATTCATTTGAGGACAGTGACTTATTTTTCTTTTAACACTAGATCTGCCAAGGGGATCAAAATGACATTCTTTGGCATTAGTTATAATGACTACTCGTTTCCAATACATCTCGTTTCTTGAAATTTGTTGTGACTTCTATCGAAGTATACAAATGTTTAATTTTATGAAGTGGTTTTCTTTTTTTCTTGTTCCTTGTTTGAAAGAGATGGGGTTGTTTTGAAAACAAAATCTGTCATGAACGGTTATGAAATAATAATATTCTGACTATTGTTTCCGTGATATTTAACGTGTCAAGTAGCAATAGACTAGATATTATGTATTAAGCATCTATCATCGCGTTTTGCGAGTGCATTCTGTTGTATATAATCTACGCAACAGGTCGTACGAGTCGTTATGAAAGAAGAATAATGTTGTGCATAGCGCTATCTGACGTTTCACTAATAGTTAAAACCTCGTCGAGAAGGAACAAGGTACACCTTTAACTAATCCGGATACAAATTTTGAATAACGAATAAAAGATACAGCGTAAAATTAAAAATAATCATTGTAGAATTGAATGTTTCACAATGAATAAATTGTTGCGTTGGTTTTATCGGTTATCTATTATTCGTATAGAACTTTGCCTATCTCTGTCGTATTTCCCAGAGCAAATTTTATTCACGAATAAGGAATACAGATTTGAAATCTGTTAATGGATTGTAATTTAAGAATTTTACGAACGAAAATTTGCCCAATTCTAGCGTTCCCTTTAAATTGAGAATCACGTGACGTTTAAATAATTACCTGGGTACATGGGTATCACGGTTACAATTATCCGGAAGGTACAAATTATTTCAAATTTCAGTTACGAAACACGGTACGGAATTCCAGTATTCGAAGTTCTAAGCTAGTTATTTCGATGACAATCGAAAACATCCTTCATCGAAGAACAACTTCTCGTGTACATTGTGTACACGCTACTAGTACAAACTAGTACCTAAAACGTGTAATTTCCATTACCCCGTAAGCTCCACGTTACAACGAAAGTTATTTCACGCAATTATTTTCAGATTAAACATTCTCACACATTTCGGTCAGAAAACGTTTCGCTATAAATAATACAAACAAGATTATCTTCGATAAGTTTCTTCGTATTTTAATTTATAAAATTAGTAACGCGATCTATAATTCTATGCTTTCGTTTAGAGGCAGAAAATACGTCATGCAATCTCTAGTATCGTTCGTGTTTTAAGGTTCGAACGAACAGATCATCACCGAGTGTTCGGAATACGGTGTTTGTTTCAAGGAGAACGAAAGAAGAGAATTCAAGCGAGCGACAAGTGTGCGTCGTACAACGTTTCGAAAGAAATCAGTTCTGAACGTTTGTATTCTAACAAGGAAAAGTTGCATTAATGATAATTACCTAGCTCGTAGCCGCAGCCTTTGTGCTTCCCGTTTGTTATGTTCTGGAACAGAGTTTTGTCCGCGTCGCTGTCGTGGAGTTTCGTCGACACGGCCACGCAGAGATTTTTGGTGGCGTCCCAGGCACAATGGGGATCCTGTAGAGCCACGCAGGACGCGCAGGTGACTGCTGCCGGCGCGTCGCAATGGTAAAGCGGAATGGCACGAATTTCGGAGTCCGCGAACACGACCAACTTGCTCGCCTCACCAGCGAGATGGACCACTAAAAGATCCTTGATCGCTTGACCTGAAAAAAATTTAATTTTTTATCATTATTAATCCCTTGAAAATTAACCGACTCAAAAATTCATTCTCAAGATGAAACGTCGAGGAAAATAAATGTCACGAGAAACGTTGGATCGAGCAGTTCCCGAAAGAACAGAACGTTTTACGTAACAAAGCGTAAATGTTTTCCGTGAAACGTTCGCCCGAATCTGCTAGTTTTGCTCGAATTACCCGTCTCGACGCGTGAAATATAAATTTTCGCGGTAGAATAAATCGTACGAACCATCGAATATTTGCTCGCGAGTCCGTGACAGTTCCGTCCATCGAGTCGAAGAGCGAACGACGATTCCTTTTCCCTTTTGTTTTCGCTCGGAAGTCGACGAAAAAATTGCGCGTATTTCTCCTCTTTTTTTCTGTACACGGGAAGAATAGGATCGCGTGTCATACGAACGCACATAATTCAGCGGGGGATTAATTAAATTTTTTTTGAGGATTGAAATTCAGATTCGCGTTCGAACGTCGTCCGGGAACACCCTGCTTTGCATTGTAATTGGGTTGACGGTTATCAGACGCGCGCGATCGAATTTTACGAAGACCGTGTTATTTACGGGCAAAAGGGCGCGGATATTTTCGGACAGCTTACCGTATTTCAGAACCTGGACGTCGCTGACGATAACCTGGCCAACGTTGCTCATGGAATCCGGCGCGCGAGTGTTTAGCGCTTTGAGAACTCGGCCGTCGTCTACGGGATAATTATAAAATTATGTTAATTGACTCAGCGGTGGCGCTTTTGTTCGCCGTTGTTTACCTGTTCCTATGTAGAGGATGTCGTAGGCCTTTCCGTCCAGAGCCTTCACCTGAGAATCTACAGCGACTTTGGTAAATCTGTAACTATATGTACTATTTGCTTTAATTGTCGACGGTTGATATTCCGTTGCATGGAAAAATGCGAAAAAAGAAACAGGAATAATAATTGTTAAATACGTTGACTGGAAAATTTCTTTTGAGACCAGAACTTTGATTTTAGACAATTGTAAAATACATAAATTAATCCCATTCAAATTTATTTTCTTTAATATATCAGCTTGAGAATTATTTTAGTTCGAAAGTGAGAAAGTCGAAGTCAAATGTGGTAGTCAAAGTGTTAACCCAGATATGACTATTTTACTGTAGGTAATTCAGGCATAACACATTTATAATAAAAGAAAGTTTCGAATCGTGCAACATCCCTGAAATAGGTAACCCAGATAAAACTGAATTTATTTCTGCTATTTTATTGCAGATAATTTAAGCATAACACATTTATAGTGAATGAAGGTTCTGTTTTAAAAGGACGTCAGGCGTAAGTGGGTTGAATTTAATAAAATTTAGCATAAAAGACTCACTTGAAGCTGACTTTGGTTATCACAGGTAATAAGAAGAAGGACTGAACCGCGTCGTCCATGAGGGGGTGCGCTTTAACGAAGTTCACAGTCACGTCTGGAAGTGTCCTGGAGTCGTTCACGCATGCCCCCGGCCTGGGTTCCGGTACCCTTTCCGGAAGTACTCGCAGCCAATTGCTGTTTATGGTCTCCTGTTCCTTGAACGCACCTTGGAAGACATCGAGGACGCTATTCATGGAGAACGCGCAGACCGCTGAACCGCCGATCGAGTTCACCGGAGTCGTAAACACTCCATAAACCAGCCTCGCACGCTCCCCGGCGTAAATACCTTCCGTGATGTCGCTGGTCGATTCTGTTGGAATAATTGTAAATTACTCGATAAAGCAACCTCCCGTCGTACGGCACTTTTATTTAGTTAATTTAACACGTTCATCGAGACCATCGATTCTCGCCGGGGCACGATCGCCGCTACCGCCATTTTCAATTTACAGCGTGACGGGGAATTAACCTCTCGACTATGTTAATTCGCGCCGAAGAATGACCTGATGATCGTTAGTTTCTTGTTAATCGTGATTTCGAAACTAATTAAGCGTGATATCAATTTATAAAGAATTCGAAGGCATTGTGGTCGGGATGTTGTAACTGTAGCTGCTTGAGTTTTCTACTTTCCGATAAATAATTTATTCCATTTTACCTACAGTTTACAATAATTAGAAACAAGGCTTTTTAACGATATTTAGGTTGGATTTTTATTTTTTTAATCGACTTATTTTATTTTGCAGGATGTTCTTGAGAAATACCTTTTCCACGATTAAAAATCTGACAATCAGGCTTACTTTCCAGTGCTACTTTCTAATACTATTGTCTAATACAATATTTCAACTTGTAGACGATATTTAAAGTATGTCACAGCTTATAGAAAAATCCTATTTCATTGTTACAGAATACAACTACTCGCTGAACCAGTGGTTAATTTATTGTTTGTAATGACATGTATGTGACTAAACGAATACGAATCAAGTATGGTAATACATAATAAATAATAAAAAAAGAATAAAATTAACACGTCATGCAGTCTCCATGCAAGAAAAGATAGAAAAACTCAGAGTAAAATTTCATATGATACATTTTGTTAATTTTCATTTCATTTAAAGTTAATTTTGCAAATATTTTTACAGTATCAATGTTTATGTTTTCTACACGTTTTATTAAACTCATTATCGAAGTTGTTGATCGTATTAAGCAAATATTTATTAAACTAATAATATAATATATAATTTAAAAAAATATAATATGGATTAACAAAAGAGAAACTCGTTATTCGAAAGCTGGCATCGAGAATTAAAAGTGAATGGACACATTTGTACTTACATAAACGAGATATAAATAAACGTGTTACGGTGTACACATATGTATATTCAGGTCACGTGAGATTAAAATTCAATATTGATGGAAGTTATGAGAGTTAAAATTGGAGATTTATCACTTGACAAATAATGGAAGGATGATCAAAATTGGATGGCTAACACCTTCTAATAAACATTTGCTTGGCTCGGCTGATATGCAGTCTTAATATGAGTTTTATATATGATAATATAATATTACGAAATATATTAACTAAAAACCTCAATGAACAAAATACATTACAAAATGATGATTGGCATGCTTTCATAATTGAGTTATTACATAATCAATATTTTCACATTCGTTGATATTATCCCCAGGCATTGTTGATCCATCGACGTAAACCATGTTCAAATTTCTGAGGGAATATTCGTAATTTCAAAAATCTTCCACTCAATAATATTTATTAAACAATATTTAAAATAACGTATTAAATTCTTCGATAGGAAACAAGCCATCCTCGATAATGTCTATTTTCGAGCGAAGAGCGTTCGAAATATTGGAAGTTCTATTTAAGTTCGGATTCGTATCCCTTCATACACGACAATTCAATTAACAGAACTTCAACTTTCTAGTCGCTAATTGAACAGGCAATGCACGCCGTGCCACTGTCTCGTTAAGGATTAAAGACTGCGCGTGGTGTCCCGACCAATTACAATCTCCGAATACTTGTTGGAAACCAGAAATTGTTAATCAACGGTTATTAGTTAGGAAGTAGCGGCTGCTCGGTGTTCTACGATGTCAATGCGATACCTCGTTAAGAGGTAATAACAATTTCGCGTCCGGTGCCGCGTGACGCGCGTTATAAAATTACTTATCCTTGTAAAAATAACAGTTCGGGTTCGTCGCGAGCGCGAGAAATTGTAATGTTATTCAGGAGGGCGGTAATAAGGTGTTAGTATTAATCTGAGCACCAACTGGTATAATGGGGCCGAATGACGTTAACGGTATGGCGCAATATCAATTACCTTGATCGCGTACGCGAGAAAATATGTTCTTTTCGCGTCAGTGCGACCACTCCCGCGCGTAAAGCGTTGGTAACATTTTCAGACATCGGGTCTAATTGAAAATTACCCGTAATGTTTCATTAGCCAACGCATTACCAAGTGGGCGAATTTTATTTCTAGTAACATCGTCGGTGAAGGTTAGAAATTTATTCCAGGTGTTGGCTTCCACAAGATTCGTGGAACCGCGCTATGCAGTAAATAGATAAGTACAATAACTATTTACGAACACCTTAAATTTATTAATAAATATATATACACGTGTTAACAATTATACATATGTATATAAATGGTTCCTTAAAGCTCGTCCATTTCTGCTCCGTGATTATGTACTGATTTCAAAAATAGGAGGAGTTTCTATTAACAAATCCGAAGTTTGCCCATCTCTCGTGGGCCAGTCGTAAATGGGCCCTTACGGTGAATTAATTAAGTATTTTAAATATGCGTAATGGCTTTAGGGTACGGAAATTCCTATTGTCAAAAAAGGTACATTTGCCAGTAGTTCAAGTAATATTGAAAATAAGTGACGTGCCCTATAATATAAGATGTTTGGAATTCCAAACACCAGAAGTGGATCTTGAAGTTGAGTATTCGTTACATGAACAATTCAAATTCAGAATATTCAATATTAGCGATGCTGTCAATTGGTAATATGTGTTTCCGTCCATTTTCATTGTGCGTGCATTAATTAATCCATTAATTCATAGTGCATCAAAACCAGGACGATCCAGAGAATTATACTATCTATTAAATTGATTAATACTGTGATGTATCATTTTTGTTCTAGAATGAAAATTGAACTTTATGTACACAGAAACAATGTTTTAGTCTCTCTTGAGATTTGTAGTTTGATGTTATCAAGAAGTTAGAATATTTCAGATCGATAATATGTAGGTTTTTAGGAACGAGTGAACAGCATTGTAATTGTTGCCATTTTAAGTTTAAGTTTCTATTGAAATTGAGCAACTAAACATATTAGGAGAATCACAAATGCACAGATTTCGAATTTTCTTTATATTAATAATAGCAGAGATGAAGGGTTAATATTCGATCCCTATTTAAAGTGAAATATTAGGTCCTCCCATAAGTTTGTGCCGTTCGAATTTAGTCGATTCTTTCATTTTATAAGAAGACCAAAATACTTAAGACAAGTTTGATTCGACTGAATACAATTAGTTCGTGATATTCTTGTCGGATCTAGTACGGAACATTCTACTTAGGTTATTCTAGAGTCGTCCAAAAACAGAGAATAAAGTATTAAAACAAATTACTGTAGCAATTAGAGAATTCTCTAAAACTGTTGCATATATAAAAAAAAAACATTTAATAGAATTGCTACTAATCGAACTAATTTATTACTTGTTATAATGTAACAAAGAGTCTACCAACGCGTGTTAAAATTACTAAAACTTTAGATGCGTGCAATTCTGAAGCTATTCATATTTTCTGCATAACTAAGCCATCATTAAAAGCGGCAAAGCTTCCCCTTTAAAATGGTTTTTGGTTTATGTCGATTCGATTTTTTGTTTTTAAGATATCGTAATTTATGTAAAGGGGTGATCTTTCTAATTTGACTATCTCTGTCTCCCTCTCTCGCACGTGAGTCGTGACAAATGTGACCGAGTGACTTAATGTTTCTACTACGAGCACGTGCGCTCAACGACCTTGACAAGGTCATAATGGAAGTTCATTGACCTCACGACGTAAACAATAAAAAGTAAACAAAGCTTCGAACCATGTGATCGACTTGAAATAAAAATCGTTATATCTTCGGAACTAATTAAGCTATCGACTTGAATGAACACTCGTTTTAAAGGGCATTTTATCCTCTATCTCACGAATGTAACAACTACTATAATTTATGCTGTCTTCTATGTTTATTTTGGCATTTACTTTGACGCTATGCACCCAAAGAAGTTTCAGCAATTTCTATCGATTATTTCGATCGGTATCCAATAAACGCTAGATCATAGATTATTTATATCATTGAAAATGAGTTCAAATTTATATACAGAGTGTGCGGATTATTATTCCGTAAATAACGGTTTTCTCCGAAACTATTTATATATATAAAATTTGTTTTAAAGAGCGCTTCGTCTTTCAACCGACGAATATAACAGCCATTATAATTTATGATGTTTTCTATGTGTATTTCGAAATTTAGTTGTTAAATAATTTCCAGTTTTATTCAATTTCAAAAGTAACTTTATTCTGTTATTCAAATTCTAACTTTTGTTTAATGTTTGACGCAGAAAGTGTTGCTTACGTTTTACATGTTACGTTAAATTCAGACTTCACAAAATATTTCAAACTAAACTGACCAACAAATCATAATACAGAAAGTTTAATAAAACAATGTTTGTATGAAGAGGGGGCTTTTGAATGAAAAAGAACGATCGGTGGAAACTACAGGTTCGAATATGACGTTAAAGAGGATCGTCAAACGAGTCCCCCGCGGTTCTCTTCGCGCAGATAAAAATAAGGGTCGGTTTCACAAAGAGCTTGGAACCGATCTTAAATTCAAATTCGTCCTGAATGCATAGTTTGCGCGACACGAGCCGTGTCTTGAGCGTTAGCTTTTAAATCACGACCGTTTCAAATCGCCCGTGCAGCAGGGAGGGGAGGTCAGCGCTGATGGACATTAATATTAAAAATTCCCGGGGAACAATAACGTTAAAGAAACGTGATCCGTGAGAGAGAGAGGGGTGAGGGGAGAAGAGGACTGAATGGAGGCGTTGAAAGGAAACGTAGAAGGAAGTTTTCCGTCACCTTCTCGTTAATTCCGCGCGAACGAAGCTAAAAACCATTAATGTAGCCATTCTCCAAGGACATTAGCAGCGGAGGAAGGGTAATTTGCGTTCTATAAAACATTGAATGAAATGTCAGACTCGACGTCCCTTCGTTACTCCGAGCGAAATCGAAGGATGGTAATCTTCGCTATTGC